AATTTAGTAATTTATACAGGAGAAAGGGTTACTAACCTCCTCGCTCCTGGCAATTTAGTCACCTCTTACTACTTGTATGGCTTATGGAGGAAGAATTCTTTTCCACTTCCCCATGGAGATAAGAGGAAATAAAGAACAACAAGGCCTATTAAGAAAACAGAAGAAAGCCCAGATGGGTGTGTAAATATATATGTGTGTATTTGCATGTGTAGCATGTCCTAAATGTAAGTAGAAATAGCATGATACACCTGTTATCTCACATGTTTATGAGACAGAAAAACACCGGCAATCCTTCAATCATGTAAAACAATTACAGGTTTCCATTTAACACTCACTTGGCAGGACAGTAGTACCTCCCTGGGTGGTTGCTGTCTACCAACCTACTCCTACTGGAATACAGCCAGTTTGTTGAAAAAAAAATCTGGTAGATGCCTAATTATATTCTGTGGCATATTTAGCAGCAGAACAATCAGGCAGACAGTGAGACTCACTCTATCTGTTTTCTTCCAAAACAAATACAGCACATATTTTTTTTTAATGGTTTTGTACTGTATTCAATGGGGAAAACTATACTAGCTTACTGTGCATTAGACAAACTGTCTTACAAGATTTACTAACAGATCCTAAAGTGTCAGTAGATTATTATTATTATAATCAAGGGAAAGCGCTAAACCCGTAGGATTATACAGCGCCTGTGGGGGGATGTGGAAGGTATTCAGGGAACTGGAGCACATATCCAATTCCCTAGATTAAGAGCCCCTCACCAGCATCAAGGAACTTTCCTTGAGGGGTAAAGTGTCAGTAGAAACTAGAGCAAAACAATTCACTGTACAGTGTACTATAATATGAAGTGGAATAATCATCATGCCTTTTGGTTTTAGGTTTGAACTTCTAACATAAAGAAAATAGCCATGGCAGAATTCCAGTGCTTAATGTATCCTTCAAGATAAGATAATGCAGAGTATGAAAAAAGTAATTTCTTTGTTCTGCAATTATTCATTTTATATGTAATTTTTTTTTTTCTGGGAGATGGTCCTCCACACTCCTCCAATACTTATCACTTCAGTAGCTTTGAATTTGCTATTAAGACCTGTGATGTTACTACTGTATGTTCCATGATTTTTTTTTCCTTGTTATGAAACCTGTAGATGAATGGTTCACAGAGAGCCAAAAGGTATCTGATAAATGTAGCTACAGAAAGGGAGGGAAATGATTTTTTATTTTTGTATATAGTCTTAATGACTCTCATGTAGTAGTCTTAATGATCCTCGTGTGGTAGATACTCTTAATAGTATGATAATAAGATATTATCTCCTTTATAGAATAATAATAAGATATTATCTCCTTTATATTATAATAATAAGGTAAAAGGACCCTAATGGAAATAAGTCACTCTGTCTTGAGTTTTTGGGTTATCCTAGGTACTTTACACATATGCTGCTATGTATGATAATCTATGTAACTGTATTTGTGTATAGCTGAATAAACTTACATACTTACTTACTAATCAACAGTACTTTATTAGGTGGCTAAATCATCACCAGTATCAGCAACATTACAACTCTGTAACTGTTGGCCTGTCAAATATACGCGGAAGGAAGGGAGCGGCAGTCAAATGTGATTTTTTTGCTATGTTGCTTAGGTAGTATAACAGTAACCATGAAATGGTTGAGAATGAAGGTCTCCATTAAAGAGAAAGTTGACTGGATGTCTCCCACACACTTCTCAAATGACTGACTGTACCATAAGAGAGATGATCTGATAAAAAAGAAAACTTCCACAGTATAAATTTAGTTGTCCATTATGTATCATACTGATGGATATGAGACACATCCTGTAAGTTCACAATATAAATTCAGCCCCACAGTTTATTGCAAGATTTTTTTTTTTAACACACCAGCCATCTCCCACCAAGGTAGGATGAAAAAAGAAGAAACACTTTCACCATCACTCACTCCATCAGTCTTTCGAGAGGCATGCTGATACTACAATTCAAAATTACAAATTTCTTTGCCCCTCCTTCAGAGTGCAGGGACTGCACTTCTCACCTCCAGGACTCAAGGAAAGTGATCTCGTGCTATAATTGGTTGGTGTAAAAATTTTTATCCAGGTTTCATGGGTGAAGGTGGACTTTAATGGCAGTGTGGTCCAGTGAAAGGAGGAACAATGGTTGGAGGGAGTGGTAGTAAACTAAGACTGGTAGGATCTAGGACAGGAGGATAATGGGGAACATTTGTTAGAGATCTTCAAGAATGAGGAACCTCACAGGCCTGTTTACATGCCTGGACTCAAAGCCCAAGAACACTATTTACTAAGGAATGAGGGGACCAAATGCAGATCTATGTGGGTGAGATACCTGCCACTTCAGGGAGCTCCCTACAGTAGTCTTCCATGATAAAAATGTTTGCTCCTCTTCCTTGAAATAAACCAGATACTCAGTCATCCAAGACAAAGCAGTCCCTCGTCAGCCCTTCTGGTGGGTGGCACTAATGACTCATAGTGGTAGCTATTAGTCTGGATTCTCACCAGCATCCTAAGTGGCAAAGGAGTACCTATTCACTACACCATAGCAAATTTGCAGCCTAAGAGAATTTAAAATGATAAGTGTTCCAAAATTTATTGGAGTGCTCTCCACTATCTTTTTTTGCTATATTCAACTATTAGTCAACTATAGCATTTTATCACAAAGTACTTTCATTGCTTAAAACAACCTTTAATTCTTGACTTTTTCTTTACCCCAATGGCCATCTTCCACCAAGGCAAGGCCCCAAACAAGGAAATGTATACACCATCATTCATTCAATCAATAAATATTATGATTTAATAAAACAAATATATTTCTCCACAGATCCTTTGTCTTCTTCATTTTTAATATGTATTTAGACTATATGCAAATGGAAGACCTTTAAAATATGAGTAACATTTACTAAAACCTTGATTTGGGGAACCATACAGTACTGTATAATTATTGCCATGTTGAAACAGTAATACCTTATTTTCATCAGAGTTGGCAGTCATTTCAAGAAAATATTAAATTCCAATATGGTAATTTCTACCTTAATGAAAATAGCAGATGTGGTAAAAAAAAATCTTTAGACACACCTTAGTAAATTGGAAATTCAGCATTATTGAAAATTCAAGATGCTCTCTAAATATTTATGCTTCAGTAAGTTTCAACAGAATATGTAAGTTCTTCCAGTTGTCTCCATTCAGACATTGCAATCCATTTACGACTATTCTTAGGAAGCTTAAAATGTTCAGTAGCATGAATTAAACTAATATTCATATGGCAGATTGGCTTGTACAATTTCTTATTTATCTTTTACTAAGCATGGTTTCCTAAGAACAGTATATTTTAGGTTTCCTCAGAACAGTATATTCTAAGTTTCCTCACAATGGTATATCCTGTTGACTGAAAGTAATGTCGATTTCTTCAGGTCCTCTAGAATCACCACAGCTATGTGAATACACTATATCCCAACTTTATTCTGATACTATTAGTTGCAGGATATTTCTTTGCAACTGATTGTTCTTAAGAGGTCCATCTTAAATTTGGTATTCTTCAGAGATTTCGTAATTTATCATTTAACATAAAATTAAGGCACAATCTATCATCGGATGTAATGTTATGCAGACAAATAGAAGAGTTTCACCTGCATGCAGGTACAAGATACCAATACAATTCAGCCTAATTTTTTTTTTTTTTTTTTTTTATTATCACACCGGCCGATTCCCACCAAGGCAGGGTGGCCCGAAAAAGAAAAACTTTCACCATCATTCACTCCATCACTGTCTTGCCAGAAGGGTGCTTTACACTACAGTTTTTAAACTGCAACATTAACACCCCTCCTTCAGAGTGCAGGCACTGTACTTCCCATCTCCAGGACTCAGGTCCGGCCTGCCGGTTTCCCTGAATCCCTTCATAAATGTTACTTTGCTCACACTCCAACAGCACGTCAAGTATTAAAAACCATTTGTCTCCATTCACTCCTATCAAACACGCTCACGCATGCCTGCTGGAAGTCCAAGCCCCTCGCACACAAAACCTCCTTTACCCCCTCCCTCCAACCCTTCCTAGGCCGACCCCTACCCCGCCTTCCTTCCACTACAGACTGATACACTCTTGAAGTCATTCTGTTTCGCTCCATTCTCTCTACATGTCCAAACCACCTCAACAACCCTTCCTCAGCCCTCTGGACAACAGTTTTGGTAATCCCGCACCTCCTCCTAACTTCCAAACTACGAATTCTCTGCATTATATTCACACCACACATTGCCCTCAGACATGACATCTCCACTGCCTCCAGCCTTCTCCTCGCTGCAACATTCATCACCCACGCTTCACACCCATATAAGAGCGTTGGTAAAACTATACTCTCATACATTCCCTCTTTGCCTCCAAGGACAAAGTTCTTTGTCTCCACAGACTCCTAAGTGCACCACTCACTCTTTTTCCCTCATCAATTCTATGATTCACCTCATCTTTCATAGACCCATCCGCTGACACGTCCACTCCCAAATATCTGAATACGTTCACCTCCTCCATACTCTCTCCCTCCAATCTGATATTCAATCTTTCATCACCTAATCTTTTTGTTATCCTCATAACCTTACTCTTTCCTGTATTCACCTTTAATTTTCTTCTTTTGCACACCCTACCAAATTCATCCACCAATCTCTGCAACTTCTCTTCAGAATCTCCCAAGAGCACAGTGTCATCAGCAAAGAGCAGCTGTGACAACTCCCACTTTGTGTGTGATTCTTTATCTTTTAACTCCACGCCTCTTGCCAAGACCCTCGCATTTACTTCTCTTACAACCCCATCTATAAATATATTAAACAGTAGGTTGGTAGACAGCAACCACCCAGGGAAGTACTACCGTCCTGCCAGATGACTGTGAAACAAAAACCTGTAACTGTTTTGCATGATGGTAGGATTGCTGGTTTCTTTTTCTGTCTCATAAACACGCTAAGATAACAGGGATATCTTGCTACTCCTACTTACACTTTGGTCACACTTCACAGACACGCACATGCATATATATATATACATACATCTAGGTTTTTCTCCTTTTTCTAAATAGCTCTTGTTCTTTTTTATTTCTTCTATTGTCCATGGGGAAGTGGAAAAGAATCTTTCCTCCGTAAGCCATGCGTGTCGTATGAGGCGACTAAAATGCCGGGAGCAATGGGCTAGTAACCCCTTCTCCTGTATACAATTACTAAAAAAGAGAAGAAGATTCAGCCTAATATGTACTATAAAAGGAAGCAGATTTTTAGTTGTTTTGACCTGGAAATTTTATGCTGAACATTCTTTGCTAGTGTCAATCATGTGCATCCCAATAAAACTGCACATTCCATATCATACAGTAGTAAGATACATCACTGACACAACAATGGCCTTACCGGATACCATGTTAATAAATTAATGGCTAGTGAATGTAGTACAGAGGTCCAGTTTTGCAAGCAAGACAGGCTTGTAGAACTTGATAAATTACAATCTGTCCTGCAAAATGTAATATAAGAATGCAAAGCTGGGAGGAACTGATCTTAAATAGGAGAAATAGACTGACTATGGACCATGTTAAAATGCTGATAAAAGTTCTAAGAGATATCCTGAAACAATATAAGTAAGAGAATTAAGGCAACTGTTAAGGGCCAACACATAAAACAGAAGAACAAACAAAAATGACTGAGGTGGAATACAAAATAAATTTTGTATCTATATATAATACAAAGAATATTTTTTATTGATAATATTAGAGTACTACTGTACAATTAAGAACCCAGTACTATAATTTGCATTCCAAACATTTAAATACAAACTTCCAAAGTTAAGGGACTTGCACAACATCACTATAAAGTACAAAATATAGAAAGCATCTTGAATAAATGAATCACTTCTATTAATTTCAAGCAACCACAGTTAGTGACCATTACATCTGTACAACTTTACATATATACAAAATAAGAACAGTGGTAAGAGGAAATATATCATTGTGGGTCAGAGTGATCAGTGGGGCACCACAAGGGTCAGTGTTATCATGATGCAGTGATCAGTAGGGTGCCACAAGGATCAGTGTCACCAAGTAGCAGAGTGATCAGTAGGGTGCCACAAGGATCAGTGTCACCAAGTAGCAGAGTGATCAGTAGGGTGCCACAAAGATCAGTGTTCTCATGAGGCAGTGATCACTGGCCTGCTAAAAGGTTCAGTGTTATCATAATATAAGCTGTTTATTACATACAGTAACTATTTATAGCAATAATTTGGTCACTATTCATGTTGAGCAACCTATTCAACAAGGCAGTTCATGCCAAATTTCACATCAGTATCAACCACAGGGGTCACAAATATTGACGAATGAGCAATTGTCTAGCTGCCCTTCACAGCTATATTACAGATTTCATACAGCTATGATGTACCATTCATTAAAATTGTAATTTTTATAACTTTCTAATTACCAAAAGCAACTTATTTTCATTTCCTGAGGAAATCATAAATATTCATTTAATTAGGATATTTAAACTGTTTTTCTTTCTTTTTTGGGTCACCCTGCCTCGGTGGGAGATGACCGACTTGTTGAAAAAAAAAAAAAAATTAAACTGTTGACTAGATTTGAATGTGAAGTTACTAGTTTTCAAATTTGAAAAATTTAATTATGCAAGTATATTATTTTTTAACACACCATCATTCACTCTATCGCTATCTTGCCAGTCATGCCAACACTATATTCAGGTGCCCCTCAAATGGTAAATATCCCCACCCTTTCTTCTGAGTGCAGGCACTGTACTTTCAACCTCCAGTACTGAAGTCTGACTAACTGGTTTCCCTAAATTCCTTTACAAATGTTACCTTGCTCACACTCCAACAGCTCATCAAGTCCCAAAAACTATTTACCTCCACTCCTATTTAATGCGTTCAACCCCTCACACACACAACCTCCTTTATCCCCTCCCTCCAACCTTCCCTAGGATGACCACTACCTACTTTCCTTCCACAACAGATTTATACACCCACCAAGTCATCCTATTTTCTCTATTATCTCTTAATGTCCAAACCACCTCAACAACCTCTCCTCAGCCCTCTGGATAATACCTTTAGTTACTGTACACCTACTCTTATTCTCCAAGCCACCAATTCTCTGCATAATATTTACATCACACATAATGCTCAGACATGACATCTCCACTGCCTTCAGCCTCCTCCTCACTACAATATTCACAACCCAAGCTTCACACCCATATAAGAGTGTTGATGCCACTATACTCTCAATACATTCCCCTTTTTGCCTCCATGGACAATGTTCTTTGTCTCCACAGATGCCTCAATGCACCACCTACCTTGTTCCCTTCATCAATTCTATGGTTCACCTCATCTTTCATACACCCATCTGCCAACAAGTCCACTCCCAAATATCTAAACACGTTCATTTCCTCCATACTCCCTCCTTCCAATCTGATATCCAGTCTTTCATAAAGCACAGTGTCATCAGCAAAAAACAACTGTAACAACTCCCATTTTATATTAGATTCTGCATATTTTAATCCCACACCTCTCCCCAACACCCTATCATTCACTTCTTATAATATATACTATAAAAATAAAACAGCATTTAAACTTAAAAATACAGCATTAACTGAGGCATGACAATACTTATGTAATCCCTTTACTATAGCTTTTTCTGTGCCTAAAAGAAGATATCTATGTGCCTGTTTTGAAGAAAACCTAAATTAAATTTGAAAGCACATAAACAAACTTTATTCCCAAAAGAAAATAACTCCATCAAGGCACTTACTGACTACAACATCATCTTTCTTCTTTGTACTGCCCATATAGTACATCTCAAGTTGATAAAAGAAAGGCCTCACTGTGATCCCAAGTTTAAAGAAAAAAGAGATGTACAATAAGGGCAGAGGACTATGGAGAAGCAAGTCTATGATTCTACACACCTATCAACAAAAAACAAATACAAATTATAAGTTCTTAGGTCCATTTGTATTATTCCTTTCACTGATAAATGCATTAATATTTGCACACCTAATACAGAGGTTATGTGTGGAAATGCTTCTCCAAGTTTGGCTTACAATTAAGGTTTCAGCACACATTGTATCTAGTATGGATAGAGTTTTAAACCTTATAATAAAAATTAAATTAAATTCCTTATATAATCTACCAATAAGACCATAACAAATATATCTGACTAAGAAGACAATGTAATGTTAAGAGACTGAACATCGATTCTTATCAGGATCTAATCAGGGCTATAGTATAGTAGGTTGCCTCACATCTAGATCTTATTATACCATGTGAAGATAAGCAGAGGAAATGAGAATGTGTTATCTGGATATGTCATTAGGAGTGATGTAATTTGGAAAGTTATAAAAAGTTGAATCACAAAGATAGTGCAAACAATATACATATACGTACAGTGGACCCCCGGTTTACAATATTATTTCACTCCAGAAGTATGTTCAGGTGCCAGTACTGACCGAATTTGTTCCCATAAGGAATATTGTGAATTAGATTAGTCCATTTCAGACCCCTAAACATACACATAGAAATGCACTTACATAATTGGTCGCATTGGGAGCTGATTGTAAACCGGGGGTCCACTGTATTAACAGTCATTAACAAAGTATGAAGATATTGGCTTTGGCCATCAGCTGTTAAACAATTATCATGAATACTTAATGCCTTAGCAAGAGGCCAGGTAAAGTATTTACTGGCTGCATCAGCCTATCAATAATCACTATAACCATTGTTCTTCAATAGCTTCCAGGCAACTAAAATCTATAATTCTCAAAGATGGTGCAAACATGACTTAAGAAACAAAACTTACCTTCTAGCAACTAGAATCCTTCATTCATACCCCATAATGACTTTTCCTAGCCATACAGAATTTAATCCTAGCATGTTAGTATATAAAAAATACTGTATTAATAATAATAATAACAATATATTTAAGCCTGACTAAACACTGAATTCCATCTGGAAGAAGAAAGATGAAGAACAGTATGAACACAATGATAAAGAGGGGAAGACAAAAAGATTTTTCCAATTTATTACCTGAAAGAAGGAAATTGTAATATTTGCAGAACACTCTGACCAATTAGATCATTCAAGGCTCATCAAGCTAAACCTAAACCACAAAAATATAAATCAATCACTCTAGTGAGCACATGAGATAAAAAGTACAGCAGTACTTTTTATTTTTTATTTTTTCAACATGTTGGCCATCTCCCATCGAGGCAGGGTGACCCCAAAAAAGAAACACTTTCACCATCATTCAACACTCTCACCATCATTCACACATAATCACTGTCTTTGCAGAGGTACCCAGATATGACAGTTTAGATGTCACTACAAACAGCCAATATCCCAAACTCCTCCTTCAAAGTGCAGGCACTGTACTTCCCACCTCCAGGACTCAAGTCTGGCTAACCGGTTTCCCTGAATCCCTTCAAAAAATATTACCCTGCTCACACTCTAACATCTCGTCATTCATCTCCATTCACTCATATCTAACATGCTTACACATGCCTGCTGCATGTCCAAGCCCCTTGCACATAAAACCTCTTTTACCTCCTCCCTCCATCCTTTCCTAGGACGACCCCTACTCGTTCTTCCCCTCCATTACAGATTTATACAACCCTCCAAGTCATCCTACTGTGCTCCATCCTCTCTAAATGACCAAACCACCTCAACAACCCCTTTGAATAATACTTTTAGTAACTCCACACCTCCTAATTTTCACACTATAAATTCTCTGCATAATACATATTTACACCACACATTGCCCTTAGACATGACATCTCCACTGCCTCCAGCCCCCTTCTTGCAATTTTCGTATAATGAAATATGCATAATGATAAAATGATAGATTAATATTTTGTTGAAAATTATCTAAGCGCTTTTTATCTCATGTATTATTTTCTTCAATATACTGCACCAGCTGTCTCCTATCAAAACAGAAGAAAACTATAAAATTTATCTTCTTTTACATACAGTAATTTATACAGGAGTAAGGGTTACTAGCACTTTGCTCTTGGCATTTTAGTTGCCTCGTACGACATGCATGACCTACAGAAGAAAGATTCTTTTCCACTTCCCCATGGAGATGAAAGGAAATAAATAAGAACAAGAACTATTAAGAATATAGAAGAAAAGTCAGTTGGGTGTATGTGTGTGTGTGTACATTTTTTTTTCAACAAACTGGCTGTATCCCACTGAGGCAGGGTGACCTAATAACAAACACAAAAGTTTTTCTTTGTAAATTTAAATTTAGTCACTTATACAGAGAAGGGGTTAGTAGCCCCTTGCTCCTAGCATTTTAGTCGACGCTTACAACATGCATGGCTTACGGAGGAAGAATTCTGTTCCACTGTCCCATGGAAGTAAGAGGAAATAAAGAAGAACAAGAACTATTAAGAAAATAGAAGAAAACCTAGATGGGTGTGTAAATATATATGCGTGTCCATGCATGTGTAGTGTGACCCGAGTGTAAGTAGAAGTAGCAAGATATACCTGTTATTCCACGTGTTTGTGAGAGAAAGAAAATACTAGCAGTCATTTTTTTTTTTTTTCAACAAGTCGGTCGTCTCCCACCGAGGCAGGGTGACCCAAAAAAAGAAAAGAAAATCCCCAAAAAGAAAATACTTTCATCATCATTCAACACTTTCACCACACTCACACATTATCACTGCTTTTGCAGAGGTGCTCAGAATACAACAGTTTAGAAGCATATACGTATAAAGATACACAACATATCCCTCCAAACTGCCAATATTCCAAACCCCTCCTTTAAAGTGCAGGCATTGTACTTCCCATTTCCAGGACTCAAGTCCGACTATATGAAAATAACCGGTTTCCCTGAATCCCTTCACTAAATATTACCCTGCTCACACTCCAACAGATCGTCAGGTCCCAAGTATCATTTGTCTCCATTCACTCCTATCTAACACGCTCATGCACGCTTGCTAGAAGTCCAAGCCCCTCGCCCACAAAACCTCCTTTACCCCCTCTTTCCAACCCTTTCGAGGACGACCCCTACCCCTCTTTCCTTTCCCTATAGATTTATATGCTTTCCATGTCATTCACTTTGATCCATTCTCTCTAAATGACCAAACCACCTCAACAACCCCTCTTCTGCCCTCTGACTAATGCTTTTATTAACTCCACACCTTCTCCTAATTTCCACACTCCGAATTTTCTGCATAATATTTACACCACACATTGCCCTTAGACAGGACATCTCCACTGCCTCCAACCGTCTCCTCGCTGCTGCATTTACCACCCAAGCTTCACATCCATATAAGAGTGTTGGTACTACTATACTTTCATACATTCCCTTCTTTGCCTCCATAGATAACGTTTTTTGACTCCACATATACCTCAACGCACCACTCACCTTTTTTCCCTCATCAATTCTATGATTAACCTCATCCTTCATAAATCCATCCGCTGACACGTCAACTCCCAAGTATCTGAAAACATTCACTTCTTCCATACTCCTCCTCCCCAATTTGATATCCAATTTTTCTTTATCTAAATCATTTGATACCCTCATCACCTTACTCTTTTCTATGTTTACTTTCAACTTTCTACCTTTACACACATTCTCAAACTCATCCACTAACCTTTGCAATTTTTCTTTAGAATCTCTCATAAGCACAGTATCATCTGCAAAAAGTAACTGTGTCAATTCCCATTTTGAATTTGATTCCCCATAATTTAATCCCACCCCTCTCCCGAACACCCTAGCATTTACTTCTTTTACAACCCCATCTATAAATATATTAAACAACCATGGTGACATTACACATCCCTGTCTAAGACCTACTTTTACCATCATGTAAAACAATTAAAGGTTTCTGTTTCACATTCATTTAGCAGAACAGCAGTACCTCCCTGGGTGGCTGCTGTCCACTATTGTTAAGTATATCTCTGGGCAAAAAAAGTTTACCATGGTGAAGAAAATACCTTAAAAGTAATTTATAAATTATTATGCTGTAATACCAATTTATACTATTTTTTTTGTCAACAAACTGGCCATATCACACCAAGGTAGGATGACCAATTACATAATAAATATAGATATTAAAATAGCAATTTATAGTATGCAAAATCCAGTATTATGTACTAGACTAGATAATACCACAGTAATTAAGAAGTACAGTATTGCACTCTCAAACAGATTTCAGTTCAACAATCTCCTTTAAGGGTCGTTTTCTGAAACAGGGAAAGAACATATTTGTTAAACTCCTTTTCATACAGAATAAGGTATACCCTATAAAAGAGAATATAGCAATGGTGCACAACAAAGACTGTCAACTTTAGTTTTCCAAAGCTGCTATAGTTTTTAAATACTGACCTTTTTTAATGAAGAAATAGCTATAAACATTTTGCAAGTCAACCAGAAATATTTCAATTTTACATACTGTTTCAGAGCCACCACATTTGTTCCTCTTTATTTTCTCCTAGGATTTTTACTTCAATTTCAATATTATAACATAAAAGTAACTATGTTGAGACAGCTACCAATTTTTCTTCAGGGAGATTAGTAATAGAGTAACATATGAGTTCACATGTCTAAATTAAAATGAGACAAAAAAAAAAAAGATAAAAAAAAAAAGGTTAGGTAGATGGACAAAATAAGGGAATGCATAATGTACAATATTTTAAATGGGTCTCAGAGTGTAGGAATATATAATTAGACACAGGTAAGGTATTGGCAGAAAGTTGTTTGTGGTGGTTTCATACTAGTTAATAGATATGATTGAAATGTTATTCCTGGGCAAGTAGGTAAAACATGTAAATGAGTGTGTATATGATAACAGTATCACTATGTGAGTCTTATACTCAAAACAATGAAAATTTGGATAAATTATACATGCAACAGTTAGGTATCTTTATTTTGAAATGTTTTTCCCACACAGCAGGCTTCTTTAGTCAAATACAGAGGAGTCAGCAGAAGCATTGGAGATGTGCAGATGATGTAATCATCTGTATATCTCCAGTGCTTCTGCTGACTCCTCTGTATTCAACTCAAGAAGTCTACTGTGTAGGCAAAACATTTCAGAATACAGATACCTAACTATTGTGCATGTGTCTTACTTATCTACGTGTTGGTATTATATACCATTACTGTATTCACAGTGGAAATTTGTACTGAGCCACCAAGAACTATATCACCTCAACCACTCCACTATACTAGCTTTTTTTCTGTTTTAAAGTATGTTTGTGGCCTTAGGGTCAAGCCCATCTGGAGCAGTACAGCTGAAATGGTATTATATCAATGCATTTTGGGTTTCAAAGACAACTTGAAATAGTGTAATTAGAAAATTAATATTCACTGCAAAGATATGAATAAAACTTCAATATATATATACTGAATAAAACAAATGTTACTGAATCTTACCGTTTCTCAGTGTTGCCTTCATTCCAAGGCTGAACCTCCACTGACAAGAAGATGAGGTAGAGGGAGCAAAGTATCAGATATACAAGAGACACCAACTGAAACACTTTCTTCCACTGATTCAGTGTTTGCTGATGATAAAAAGAAACATTCCCTTTAGAATTTCTGTAGATGTTTTGATAACATTCTTTTAATTTAAATATGTATATGAAACAATAATAATATAAGCATTGCTATTTTACCGTAAATCCTTTATATCAACTGGAGAAAAGATTTCATTATTTCCCCTACTGCAACTGAAATAATAATTTTATTACTAAATTTAAAAAGGAAAACTTTCATTTTTTTTTGTTAAGTCACCCTGCCTCAGTGGGATACGGCAGGTGAGTTAAACAAATAATTTAGAATTTTGTTATTCTTGAGTGCTTGTTCTTTCAAAAAAATCACAAATGCTTGCACACCATGCTGTATCTGCAACAACAACACTGAAGAAGAAATACCAAAGTTTATATTAAAGAGTGACAGTATGATTATCATGAATGTAAGATCTAGAAAAGAAATGTGCTTTCAACTGAAACTGAGAGCACGAACAGATTTCTAGGAAAAAAGGAAAAGGCTCATATACAGGATTACTGACAAGAAAGATACTATTTTAGAAGTGACAATGCAATATCCCTATGGCTACAACCAGAAAGATCATTTATTAGTAATTCATGCTCAGTGGTATCAAATGAAGCAGATATATTCAATGAAGTTAGCAGCGATATATTGGTAAAGCCTCAGAAACATCATGTGTATTAATAAAGATCCTTTGCTTAGTATACGTGTCTTGCAAGCCACTTGTTGGCTATGACATACTTCAAGTACTTTGTGGTCAGTCTGAAACTGTATTGTGTTTTAAGTTACAGACTGGTTGACTGTGTTAACCAAGATAAACCAATCTCTCATATATGGATTAAGATACCTAGGATATTGTTTACTAGGCAAGTTCTAATGGTCACAAAACCTGTCAATTTTATTGTGGTTTATGTGGTTGTGATTTGTATTGCCTTATAACTGGGGAATATATTTTTCTTTTAACAAACCAGCCATCTCTCATCGAGGTAGGGTGACCTAAAAAAGAAGAATCACTTTCACCATCACTATCACAGTCTTACCGGAAAGGTGGCAATACTACAGTTCAAAACTGTAAATATTCCCACCCTTCCTTCAGAGTGCAGGCACTGTATCATTACTTATTATTTCTGACGAGTTGGGAAATCATTTTATGGGTAATATTTATGTACATTTTTGCATTCTTAAATTTTAAAGTACTGCAATATATTTTTTAACTTTCTGACAAGATTAACAAATGCTGCAGCATATCATTTTGTTGCTTCTTTAGACTAAACATGTTTCTTATTAACAGTCTCAGTATGTTCTTTATGGGCCATGAGTTATTAAGCCTTCTGGTTATTTCTGTGGTTTTCAGAGGACACTGTGTGTGGTGCAGATTTTTTTTTATTTTATACTGATATTTTGTTGGTTATTTTATATAACTGGACTTGAGTCCTGGAAATGGAAAGTATAATGCCTGCACTCTAAAGGAGGGGTTTGGGATACTGGCAGTTTGGAGGAATATATTGTGCATTTTTATACGTATATACTTCTAAACTGTTGCATTCTGGGTACCTCTGCAAAAACAGTGATTATGTGTGAGTGAGGTGAAAGTGTTGAATGATGATGAAAGTATTTACTTTTTGGGGATTTTCTTTCTTTTTGGGTCACCCTGCCTCGGTGGGAGACGGCCGACTTGTTGGAAAAAAAAAAAAAGAAAAAAGAAAAGAAAAAAAAATTGTTGGCTGTTAAGTTTTCTTCTCAAGTTTGAGAGTTACAGCAGCAGTAAAGATGTTATTATTATTATTATAATCAAAAAGAAGCGCTAAACCACAAGGGCTACTATACAGTGCTGCAGTAAAGATGTTTAATGTTGCTTCATTACAGTGGTAGAATGGTGGTAGTCCTTGCTACACAACCAGAGAATTAATCAACTTACAGTGAGGGTAGAAACATTAAGACATTGGTGTGGGTTGCATCCTGGGCCAAAACTGAACTAATGTGCCCGAAATGCTCTGCATAACAAGCGGCTTTCTATATTGGCATTTTGGAGGGATATGTTGTATATCTTTATACATATATACTTCTAAACTGTTGTATTCTGAGCACCTCTGCAAAAACAGTGATTATGTGTGAACGAGGTGAAAGTGTTGAATGATGATGAAAGTATTTTCTTTTTGGGGATTTTCTTTCTTTTTGGGTCACCCTGCCTCGGTGGGAGACGGCCGACTTGTTAAAAAAAAAATATATAATTAGTGAACAAAATATAAAAATAAAATGATCAGCCAACTAAATAGCAGCACTGGTCTGCTTTACATGATATACAGGTATGTACAGTACATGATACTGGCATCACTGAAAAGGCTTGACATTTTTCTCAGATAAGTGCAAGTATATACCTGAAAAATACATTTTCACAATTACCTGATTGTTGATGATGGCTCCAGTCACAGCAGGAGCTAAGAACCCAGGAATTGTAGCCATAGTGTTGGATATGCCAGTCAATGTACCCGAGAAGTTAGGTGCAAGTTCCTGGAGAAAAACACATTCTGTTGTACTTACCATGAATAACAATAAGAAGAAATTTCAAATTTTATTATTTTTTAATCAAGGAAAAAAGTAAATCCACAGTGGTCATAGAGTGCCTGGGAAATGGGAGGCATTCAGATTCAGTCCAAGTAAGGGAAGGATAAGTCTTATTCTTTGGATCAAGAGCCCCTCAACAGCATTAATTAAGGCACCCCACTTCAAGAGACAGTTTATAGAGTGATTTACTTTCTGGATTAGTACAGTGTACTATCAAAATAAATTTCAATAATTCTTCTTTCAACACACCGGCCTTATCCCACCGAGGCGGGGTGGCCTAAAAGAAGAAACAAAAGTTTCTCCTTGTACATTTAGTAATATATACAGGAGAAGGGGTTACTAGCCCCTTGCTCCCGGCGTTTTAGTCGCCTCTTACAACACGCATGGCTTACGGAGGAAGAATTCTGTTCCACTTCCCCATGGAGAAATTTCAATAATATCTGGCATAATATTTTGGAATTTTTCTTATGAACAAGAAAGATAAAGCCCAACTTTTATAATTCAGAGATGCCTGATTCTGAATAAAAGAGGCATTACCATATTCAAGGAAGCAATAAACCATATCACCACCTTATTGAAACAACACAATTTTTGCATCTCAATATTCTTTTAGCCCTTGTGGTTTAGTGCTTCTTTTTGATTATAATAATAATAATCAATATTCTTTTTCACTTCCAGATGGTTATTCTGGCATGTTTTCTTTAAAAAAAAAAAAAAATCTTAGGAAAGATTCAATAGTCACATCCTCAAGATTATATGTCTCATCTTTACATCAGTACTGTAGTAGAAATTCATCACTGGAAAGAAATGAGAAATATGTAGACTGAAAGAAATGTAAACACTTGAAATAAAAGTACAATTCAATAACATCCACTTATTATGGGTATTTAAGATTGATCCACTCATCAATTATTAATATTTGAAAAGGATGTGGCTTGAAAATTAACATCTCCAATTAACTGTACCTGAAATGCACAGTGCATCCCACAGAATGAGGCTCCGGTGGTTCCAACAGCGATGCAAATTAATACTACAACCAGATGACCATCACAGCCCGCCCAGGGAATAAGTAGCAATGATATCATGGGAATGTAAGTGGCTGCAAGAGGAGAGAAAGTTTAACATATTTTGGCATTATTCTCAGCAACAATAAAAGTAATTTGCCACATTCATCACTTATATTGCTGAGAAATCACCACACATCAAACAGAAAAAAAAAATCCCAATTTTCCCTTGTAACTTAATAAGGTGTAGAGGAAGATACAGACAGCAGCAATGAGAGAGGATACACATGACAAGCACAGGTTGTTTTGAATATTTGCAAGATAAGGCTTCTTTCTGCAGAAGAACTGCAATACTGAGTATGATTTTTGTTAAAAAAAGTTGCGTGTTTTGTGCACAATCAATAATGCATGGCAGAAATTTTATCACCGAAAAAACAATAAATAAAAAATGAACTGGCATTATGCAATATGTATATGCATTCTGGGGCCATAGTGCATATATCCACAGTTGTAATAATCTCAAAACTCACTGAAAAGAAAAGACTAGCAATTCTGTCAGTGTAAAACATCCGACAAGTTTATGTTTCACACTCATATATACTATATGGTATGATAGAAGAACCTCCTTAGTTGGTTGTTGTCAACCAACCTGCTACTGTTACATACTTCATGAAACTAATTTACCATTTTTGCCAAAATCTGCTCCCCATTTCAGCTAAAATACAAATTATCATCAGCATACAACTGCAAAAACTTTTTTATTTCATATTATCTTAATTGACTAAGAGAGAATTATAAAAGCAAGATATAAAAACAAAAAGTGCTATAAAGATAATAAAAACTAAGAAAATAAGGAATTTCTTTATGTGCTGAAACACACAAAAGGGTTGCAAAATGACTAAGACTGAATCCAAAAAGTTTTTCATGTATGGAAAACTGTTTATAAGATAACTTATTTGCTTGGTAAATGATTAGGCTTCTCAATTACAGTAACAATTGTCTTGGTAGGAAATGAGAGATGTAGCAAACAAATAAAAAAAAATCTATAATCACAATGCAGGTGGGGGTGAAGGCTGCTAGAAGTGCCATATCTTATTTTTTTTTTTTTTTTTTTCAACAAGTCGGCCGTCTCCCACCGAGGCAGGGTGACCCAAAAAAGAAAGAAAATCCCCAAAAAGAAAATACTTTCATCATCATTCAACACTTTCACCACACTCGCACATTATCACTGTTTTTGCAGAGGTGCTCAGAATACAACAGTCTAGAAGCATACACATATAAAGATACACAACATATCCCTCCAAACTGCCAATATCCCAAACCCCTCCTTTAAAGTGCAGGCATTGTACTTCCCATTTCCAGGACTCAAGTCCGACTATATGAAAATAACCGGTTTCCCTGAATCCCTTCACTAAATATTACCCTGCTCACACTCCAACAGATCGTCAGGTCCCAAGTACCATTCGTCTCCATTCACTCCTATCTAACACGCTCACGCACGCTTGCTGGAAATCCAAGCCCCTTACCCACAAAACCTCCTTTACCCCTCTCTCCAACCCTTTCGAGGACGACCCCTACCCCGCCTTCCTTCCCCTATAGATTTATATGCTTTCCATGTCATTCTACTGTGATCCATTCTCTCTAAATGACCAAACCACCTCAACAACCCCTCTTCTGCCCTCTGACTAATACTTTTATTAACTCCACACCTTCTCCTAATTTCCACACTCCGAATTTTTTGCATAATATTTACACCACACATTGCCCTTAGACAGGACATCTCCGCTGCCTCCAACCGTCTCCTTGCTGCTGCATTTACCACCCAAGCTTCACACCCATATAAGAGTGTTGGTACTACTATACTTTCATACATTCCCTTCTTTGCCTCCATAGATAACGTTTTTTGACTCCACATATACCTCAACGCACCACTCACCTTTTTTCCCTCATCAATTCTATGATTAACCTCATCCTTCATAAATCCATCCGCCGACACGTCAACTCCCAAGTATCTGAAAACATTCACTTCTTCCATACTCCTCCTCCCCAATTTGATATCCAATTTTTCTTTATCTAAATCATTTGACACCCTCATCACCTTACTCTTTTCTATGTTCACTTTCAACTTTCTACCTTTACACACATTCCCAAACTCATCCACTAACCTTTGCAATTTTTCTTTAGAATCTCCCATAAGCACAGTATCATCAGCAAAAAGTAACTGTGTCAATTCCCATTTTGAATTTGATTCCCCATAATTTAATCCCACCCCTCTCCCAAACACCCTAGCATTTACTTCCTTTACAACCCCATCTATAAATATATTAAACAACCATGGTGACATTACACATCCCTGTCTAAGACCTACTTTTACCGGGAAGTAGTCTCCCTCTCTTCTACACACCCTAACCTGAGCCTCACTATCCTCATAAAAACTCTTTACAGCATTTAATAACTTACCACCTATTCCATATACTTGCAACATCTGCCACATTGCTCCTCTATCCACTCTATCATATGCCTTTTCTAAATCCATATCTTATACATTTATCTTATACATTTATGTATTCATATCTTAAAATGGTAGGTTACTGATTATGTAATCCTCATTGTAATCCAAACCTTATTGTAATCTAAATTACTTTATCTTATATGTACAAAAATATAAAATTACATGTTACATGTTAAGTAACTACCAAACCAGTGCACTTCTGGAATGACTGATTGAATGAGTGACAGTGAAAGTGTCTTCTCTGTCGGGTCGCCCTCTACCTTGGAGGGAGGTGATCAGTGTTAAAAAAAGTTTAGTACTAGTGTTAAGAAGTTTTTAAGTAATTATTCTGAGTATGACTGAAATGGTTTACATACAAGGGGCTATTCTCTAGAACATGAAAAGTATTTTATTATCAGTAGTACAGTGGTACCCCAAGTTTCGGCCATTATTCGTTTTCAGAAGGCTGTTCGAGTGCCATTACCGAACGAATCTGTTCCCATAAGGAATAATGTAAATTAGACTAGTCCATTTCAGACCCCCAAAAATACACTTACAAAAGCACTTACAATAATACACTTACATAATTGTTTGAGTTGGGAGCTGTACGAAACTTGGGGTACCACTGTATTTAATTTACTGTAATATTCACGTATATGTTGATGAAATAAATAAAAGCCTGAGTTTGAGCTTGACGAGCAGTGTGAATGTGGAGTTGAATGTTGCTTACCAAAAGCACGTTCCTGTCAAGTTGTTCTACAGTGAAGGTGAGGAATTGCAATATGAAAGAGAAATAATTCTGAAAACCTATGGACTCCCAAGTCATAAAATAAAAATGTTCTGGCTAAGAATGGTGCATACAACAACACATCTAGTTGCTCAAGTTTGCCAACCTTCCACAAAAAGTAGACTCATCTTACCTGATGATGCGACCCTACAACACTGTGGGAGACAGTATAAAGGATGTTAGCCTTAGCTTTTTGATTAGCAATTTCAAAGAAGGAAGAAAAAAAAAAGAGGGCATAAAAACAAAACAAATTCAAAAATGAAATTAGCAATGTGCCTCATTTTCACTGTTAATAATATTAACAAAAATAACTAAACTGTTATATCTGGGTGCTTCTGCAAAAACAGTGATTATGTATGAGTGAGGTGAAAATGTTGAATGATGATGAAAGTATTTTTCTTTCTGGGGATTTTCTTTCTCTTTGGGTTACCATGCCTTGGTGGGAGATGGCTGACCCGTTGAAAAAAAAAAAATAAAAAAATAAAACTACAGCAGGCCTGTTGGCCCACACTAGGCAGGTCCTTCACAAACCATCCCACTAACAGAACTGTATTTGCCCAACCCAATTTAAAATGTTTCCCAAGCAATAAGCTTTGATAATTCTATTCACTCATGCACAAGTCCCAATCAAATCAAATTGTTTGTGTGGGGAAGTACCCTGTCTAGTATGTGGGGAAGTACCCTGGGTGGTATGTGGGGAAGTACCCTGTCTGGTATGTGGGGAAGTACCCTGTCAAGTATGTGGGGAAGTACCCTGTCTGGTATGTGGGGAAGTACCCTGGCTGGTATGTGGGGAAGTTCCCTGGCTGGTATGTGGGGAAGTTCCCTGGCTGGTATGTGGGGAAGTACCCTGGCTGGTTTGTGGGGTACCCTAGAAGTACCCTCTACCACCACCACTTTCGTATCTTTCGACAAACTTTTTCTTGAATTCTATAGTGTTTCTCACCCTCTTTACCACAGGGCTGGAAGTAGAAGCTTTCTTTGGGCAATGGTGACTTATTTAGCAGTTACAAGCACTAAAAACAACGGAATAATTGAAAATGTATCGCATGTATGCGTGGAATCATCCTCACTGGCTTGTAAACAATGTGTCCAAATGTGTCTGCTCAGGCCACGCAGACACGTTTGGGACGAATGTCCTTAACCGAGTTCTTTGTCGTTAGTCGAGCCAATTTTTTGACGCAAAAACGTGTCACTACCCAATTTTTTCATTAGCCGATGACGTCATTACCTGAGGGTCCACTGTACTTTTATTATTATTATTACAATACAGCCTCTCCTCTCTTAACCCTTTGAGGGTCGACAGGCCCTCTCCGAAACTCGTTCTCAGGGTCGGCCAAATTTAAAAAAAAAAAAAAATTATTTTCTCTTATGAAAAGATAGAGAATCTTTTCCCGATCATAACGACACCAAAAGTTTGAAATTTGATAGAAAACTTACGGAATTATGCTCTCGCAAAGTTAGCGGTCTCGGCGATGTTTACGGATCGGCGATTTTGCTCACTTTGAGCCCCATTTTTGGCCAATTTCACTGTACTAGTCGACAAAAAACATGAATATTTCGCTAGAACTCCATTTTTTCTATCGAATGGGTGCAAGAAACCACCCATTTATAAATTCAACTATCCAGTACAGTGGTCAGAATTTAGCAATTTTGCCAATTTCACACAAATTTCAAAAGATGCCAATTTCGGAATAGGGTTTAGAATAAACAAGAAAGACATTCCTGGCACTAAAATGACATTTCCTCTAGTCATTAGTCACGTCTCAAGGCCCCTCTTATATTCTTTTGCTTTCCACTTTGAATTTTTATTCTCACAAAAAATATAAGATTTACTGTTATGCAGAGTACTGCATTAGTGTAAAAAATGGTATAAATATTATTGGTGCACTTGTGAAAGAATATTAGACTCACCAGTTGACGTGTATTGCACGCTTGGCACGATTTGTTTACTTTTGAAGTTTGGTAAAAATCGAACATTTCTGCTACTTTGAGCTCAATTTCAAGGCACCTTTCATTGTAAAACCAGTCAAAATCATCTCAATTTCAGTAATATGTCTTCCATTCTATAAAATGAGACCAAGAAAACTAGAATACAACAATAAATACCATACGAAAATACACTGCAAAGTCGCTGATTTATTAAAAAAAAATGGAAAAAGTTTTTTTTTTCTCATTATGCACTGTGTGCTGCAGGATTTTTTTTAGACTGTGCACACTGACCACATAGACCCATTCTTTCATATGAAGGCCTACCAGCTTTCTCCCACTAGATTTGAGGTCGCTAGAATTTATGAGTACTAGTACGTCAAAAACCCCTACGCGTAAGACGTACTAGTACGACGAAAACCCTCAAAGGGTTAATGATGGCATTCCATTTTTAAGACCATGTCGGTAAATAAATTCATTGGTAGTGGATTTGTGTCAACCATCTTTGATATTGTTTTAATGTCACCCTTGCACCATTTATAACGTTTTTAGTATATTTTTAAATGTTTATACAGTAGTGTACTACATATTGTAATAAACAGAATAGAGGAAATCAGCTCTAATATACATTATTTAGGTATGCCTATTGGCCAGAGAGCCCGTTGTAAGTCTGAGTCATCGGAAAATGAGAATGTCGCTAAGTGAGAAGCTGTATTATATTTATGGGAAAGTATTAAACAGACAAGGAAATAATCAAAATTATTTTTTTTAACATGTTGGTCATATCCTACCAAGGCAGGGTGACCCGAAAAAGAAACGCTTTCACCATCATTTACATTATCACTATCTTGCCAGAGGCATGCAGATATGAGAGTTTAGATGTTCCTCTAAACTGTAAATATCTCAAACCCCTCCTTTAAGGAAAATATTAGCTTTCTCTGTTAGGCATTACTGGGAAAGGAGAGCTTCATATGATGTTAAAATTATCTAATTTTACATTTTTAAGTGTATATTCTGAGTCAGCATAGAAAATAGTACTCCTGGTGTGATTTTAAGTAATTTTGAAAATCCAGATGAAAATGGTGAAAAATGCTGAACTATAGTTCAAGGATTTTTTGGGGTGAAAAAACTTTTTCTCTCAAAATGGCTAATGATCATGATGACACTGTTTGTTTGATCAATTACTCCCCACACACATGAAAAAAATCCTGTATATACAGCTTTCATGGAAAGTTATGAGAGTCTTTACAAGATAAATGTGCCATAAAATGCGCCTCAGACGAGGAAGAATCATATGAGAGAAAAGTAAGTAAGTTTATTCAGGTATACACAAATACAGTTCCATAGATTATCATACATAGCAGCATGTGTAAAGTACCTAGGATAACCCAAAAAAATCAGTGATTTATTTCCATTGCCTTGTGTCATGCTAACACAGTCTCTTTTTTATGTTTTCAAGTGCATATTCTTAACCCTTTCAGGGTCCAAGGCCAAAATCTGAAGTGGTGCCCCAGTGTCCAAGAATTTTCAAGAAAATTTTTTTTTATTTTTTCTTATGAAATGGTAGAGAATCTTTTTGTGAATGTAATAAAACAAAAAGTACGAAATTTGATGGAAAATTGACGAAATTATGCTCTCGTGAATTTTGATGTGTCAGCGATATTTACGAATCGGCAATTTTGCCGACTTTGACTCCCATTTTAGGTCAATTACATTATTCCAGTCGACCAAATTCTTAGCTATTTCACTAGTATTACTTCTGTTCTATCGATTGAGCACAAGAAATCGCCAAGTCAACTGTTTCAATTACAAAATAAAGTGACCGGAAATTGGTGATTTGGCCAATTTAACACAAAGTTCAAAATATTCCAATTTCAAAATAGGGTCCAGAATAAACAATGTAGGTATTCCTGGCACTAAACTACCATTTCCTCTGTTCATTAGTTATGTTTTGAAGCTTTACAAATAAATTCCATTTTGATTTTTTATTCACATAATGAATTTTTATTCACACCAAAAAATAGAAGATTTACTGTTATGCAATATTGTAATAATTGTATAAATATCATCACCACATTTGTGAATGTATATTAGACCCACCAGCTGGTGTGTATTAGACGTGTGAGGTCGTTTGTTTACTCTTGAACATCGGCAAAAATTTAACATTTCTGCCACTTTGAGCTCAGTTTCAAGCCATTTCCAGTGCTAAAACCAATCAAAATTATCTATATTTCTGTAATATTTCTTCCATTCTATCAAATGAGACCAAGAAATCACAAATACAACTATAAAAAACATATGAAAAAACACTGCAAAGTCTCTGTTTTAATCGAAAATCACGATCTCAGTTTTTTTTCTCTCATTATACACAGTGTGCTGCAGGATTTGTTTTATGTGGTGCACACATACCACATAGTTGTATTCTCTCATATCTAGGCCCAAATTTACCACTCACAGTTTATCAGAGTGAGCTGAGCTCATGACGTAGATCTACAGTTTGGACCCTGAACGTAAAGCCGTAGATCTACGGGACGGACCCTGAAAGGGTTAAGTAGCATAAAAAAATAGTTCAAATGAAGCAATTTTTTTGGTAATGTTTAGTCATTTTTTCATAATTTATGGTTATTTTTCCTAATTTTTAGATATTTCTTGTAATTTTAGTAATTTTTTGCTACTTTTGATCATTTTTTTTTTTCAACAAGTCCGCCATCTCCCACCGAGGCAGGGTGACCCAAAAAGAAAGAAAATCCCCAAAAAGAAAACACTTTCATCATCATTCAACACTTTCACCTCACTCATACGTAATCACTGTCTTTGCAGAGGTGCTCAGAATACAACAGTTTAGAAGCATATATATATAAAGATACACAACATATCCCTCCAAACTGCCAATATGCCAAACCCCTCCTTTAAAGTGCAAGCATTGTACTTCCCATTTCCAGTACTCAAGTCTGGCTATGTAAAAATAACCCTGATTCCCTTCTTTAAATATTACCCTGCTCACACTCCAGCAGCTCGTCAGGTCCCAAAAACCATTCGTCTCCATTCAGTCCTATCTAAAGCGCTCACACACGCTTGCTGGAAGTCCAAGTCCCTCGCCCACAGAACCTCCTTTGCCCCCTCCCTCTAATCTTTTTGAGGACGACCCTTACCCCACTTTCCTTCCCCTACAGATTTATACAGATTTAATTTTTAGTTATTTTTCATAATTTTTAGTCATCTTTCTGTTAGGCATTACTGGGAAAGGAAGGCCTTGTATGAAGCTACAATGATCTGATTTTACATTATTAAGCATATAGTCTGAATCAGCATAGAGGCCCACTTTTTCCCAGTAATGCCTAACAGAAGAAGCTAATATTTCCATTAAGACTCCATTATGGAAAATAACTATAAATTATGAAAAATAACTAAACATTACCAAAAGAAATCACTCCATTTGAACTATTTTTGATGCCGCTAAGAATATGCACTTAAAAAAAAAAAAAGACTATTTTAGCATAAGACAAAGCTGTTTTCTCTCATCTGATTCTTCTCTGTCTGAGGTGCCTTTTATGGTACACTCATTTTATAAAAGCTCTCATAACCTTCCATAAAATCTGTATACGTATACAGGATTTTTTCATGTATGTGGGGAGCAATTGATCCAACAAACAGTGTCATCATGACCATTTTCCATACACGTCCCATACAGTGCGTGGAGAATGCGAGATAATCCGGTTTGATCTAAGGAAGGGGATGGAAGCTCCAATTTTTTAGACCAAGAATTCTTCACTCAGGGCACTCTTACTAGAACATATTTTGCCTTCTTTCCTGCACATCCTAATTTGTACATCTGAAAAATTTTATTGCATTAAAAAATACATACTTTCTTAACATGTATGATATTTAATCCATGCAATTTCTTACCAATAACTGTTGAAAGTTGTCGAATTTGCTTGGTAGAGAGAATTCCTTTCTCAAGAAGATGATCCATGTAGGTAGAATACACCAGACTAAACAGCCACATGACCAAATATGGCATTGCTGATAATATACCATTCTGAAGAAGCAAATACAACATTTAATATTTGGTAACCTAAAATTTCCTAAAATTTTTATACAAATTACTGCTGTACATAAATGTTTTTTGCCACAGGTAAGACACACATTTTCATAAAAAAATGCAAAAAAAAGGGTCACCATGCATCTTATATGGGGATATTTTCCTATGAGGATATTGTTTTTCTTCCTATCACTAATTGCACTCTCCTTTCTCCTGTGTTTAGTATAATTATTATTATATTCATGGGAATTGAGTCCTGGAGGTGGAAAGTACAATGCCGGCACTTTAAAGGAGGGGTACCTTCATGCCTCTGCAAAGACAGTGATAGAGTGAATGATGGTGAAAGTGTTCTTTTTGCTTTTGAGTCACTCTGCCATGGTGGGATACGGCCAGTGTGTTAAAAAAATCATGGGAAGCGCTAAACTCATAAAAGGGTAGTTCACACTGAGGACTAAGGAATACACAAGAAAAATTAATCTACCCCTGCTCCTATCAGCACTGTCTTCTTGGTATGTAGTGTACCAGTGGAAGAGCAGAGTACATCAAGGCTGGTCACAGACACCCTGGCCTGGATCTTCATACGACTCTTCTAGAATTAGAATACAATGAAGAATTTGTTTTGATGCACCAATACATTAACCTTTACAACTGTCTTGTGATATACTCAGTACTTTTTTTTTTTTTTCAACAAGTCGGCCGTCTCCCACCGAGGCAGGGTGACCCAAAAAAGAAAAAAAATCCCCAAAAAGAAAATACTTTCATCATCATTCAACACTTTCACCACACTCGCACATTATCACTGTTTTTGCAGAGGTGCTCAGAATACAACAGTTTAGAAGCATACACATATAAAGATACACAACATATCCCTCCAAACTGCCAATATCCCAAACCCCTCCTTTAAAGTGCAGGCATTGTACTTCCCATCTCCAGGACTCAAGTCCGACTATATGAAAATAACCGGTTTCCCTGAATCCCTTCACTAAATATTACCCCGCTCACACTCCAACAGATCGTCAGGTCCCAAGTACCATTCGTCTCCATTCACTCCTATCTAACACGCTCACGCACGCTTGCTGGAAGTTCAAGCCCCTTGCTAAATGTTAAATGTAGGCAAGTTTCGTTCACCCCTGCTTTCTCTACTCACTTAGCAATAGAGGTTTCAGATGTTAAGTGGCTGCTGTGAGTCACATCCAGTGATAAAAATGATGCTAGGCAAATGTTTTAGAAACTCCAGTGCTACTGGAGGTCATATCCTGGACAAAATGTCATTGTGTAAGAAAAATCAAGACCTTCTAGAGGCATTTTGTGTTAGATATAAAATATCCATATAATGTGTTTTACTAATAATGATAACTGAAGAAATATCATTAGTAACTTTGAATTACATAGTTTTTCTCACTTATTAATAAAATTTTGCTTAGCATTATGTGTATGGTAATGCCACATGATGACCTGATATGCAGCCAAATTAATTAAAAACAATCATATCATATTTTCATATAGTCGGACTTGAGTCCTGGAAATGGGAAGTACAATGCCTGCACTTTAAAGGAGGGGTTTGGGATATTGGCAGTTTGGAGGGATATGTTGTGTATCTTTATATGTTTATGCTTCTAGACTGTTGTATTCTGAGCACCTCTGCAAAAACAGTGATAATGTGCGAGTGTGGTGAAAGTGTTGAATGATGATGAAAGTATTTTCTTTTTGGGGATTTTCTTTCTTTTTTGGGTCACCCTGCCTCGGTGGGAGACGGCCGACTTGTTGAAAAAAAAAAAAAAAAAAAAAAAAAAAAAAATCAGTCTCTATAGTAACCTTCTGACAATACAGTAAACCTTCCATATAACAGACTAACTGAGGGAAGCAGGTGGCCAGTAGTAGCTAACAATTTTGTAACTAATGGACTTTGTCCAGTGTTTCTGAATGAAATGACCCAGTAGATTTTGTCTCATATTCCCAAAGGCCATTATATGGAGGGTTTACTGTACTCTTAATTCAAACACTGTGTTCCCTACATTATTAAGAATATTACATCACTGAGAGTTCTGGGAGGAGCCTGGACTCCCAACCTTTAAATAACTATAGAATTAAAACTGTGTCTCTATTCATTTGGAGATACAATATAATAAGGTAGGAATCATGATGTACACAATAACATTTACATACACATACCTGCTTCATGTCAAAATGTTGGATATTCTTGAGATACGTGGGAAGCTCTGTCAGTATGCAGTAGAAACCCCAGTTTTGACCAACATGAGCCGCAATTACCACCAAGAATGGAGTTGATGTGAAAATGGATTGCCATGGTACATCCAGCCTCTTGTTGTGGCAAAATGAGAGAATATAATAAAAGAGCATTATTAGCACTCACAAAATATTTCTTTTCTATAATCAAGAATGCAGTAAAAAGATGAGAAGTAAGCTTATTTGGCATTACCAAAACCCACACTAAATAAAAGTGATGGACTGCAATAACAGAAGAACCATGAGGTTAAGTTCATGCAAAAATATATATTACTCCACTTGCAACAAGCCACAGGGTCTAGAACTGCTTCTAACTGTGTATGTTTTTTACTACATCAGCCATCTCCCATCCAGGTAGGGCGACCCCAAAAATGGAAACATTCACCATCGTTCATTTAATAACTATCTTGCCATAAGTGCACAGACATAACAGCTCAGATATGCCTCTAAACAGCAAGATCCCCACCTCTCCTTCAAAGTGCAGGCATCATACTTTCCATCTCCAGGAAAGAAGTCTGGTTAACCAGTTACCCCTGAATCACTTCATAAATGTTACCTTTCTCATCCTGCAATAGCACAAACCCTAAAGAGCCACTTGTCTTCACTCATTCCAATCTAACATACTCACACACATACCTACTGGATGCTCAAGCCTCTACCACTTAGAACCTCCTGAACCCCCTCCCTACAACCATTCCCAGGCCTACTTTCCCCACACATTTATACACTCTCTTTATCATCTTATTCTGTTTCAACCAATTTAAGTGGCCACACCAACTTAGCAGCTCATCCTCTGTGTTCTGAATTATACATTTTGTAAGGCCACACTATCTAATTTCTGTGCACTGAATTTTTGGAACAATATTAACATCAGACAGTGCCTCCAAATACGACAGCTCAGCTGCCTCCAGCCCCCTCCTTGCTGTAACATTAAAAACCATTCCTCCAAAATTATTATTCTTATAAACCTCCACCTTGACTACCTCACATTAGTTTTATTATTATCATTATCACACTGGCCGATTCCCACCAAGGCAGGGTGGCCCGAAAAAGAAAAACTTTCACCATCATTCACTCCATCACTGTCTTGCCAGAAGGGTGCTTTACACTACAGTTTTTAAACTGCAACATTAACACCCCTCCTTCAGAGTGCAGGCACTGTACTTCCCATCTCCAGGACTCAAGTCCGGCCTGCCGGTTTCCCTGAACCCCTTCATAAATGTTACTTTGCTCACACTCCAACAGCACGTCAAGTATTAAAAACCATTTGTCTCCATTCACTCCTATCAAACACGCTCACGCACGCCTGCTGGAAGTCCAAGCCCCTCGCACACAAAACCTCCTTTACCCCCTCCCTCCAACCTTTCCTAGGCCGACCCCTACCCCGCCTTCCTTCCACTACAGACTGATACACTCTTGAAGTCATTCTGTTTCGCTCCATTCTCTCTACATGTCCGAACCACCTCAACAACCCTTCCTCAGCCTCTGGACAACAGTTTTGGTAATCCGCACCTCCTCCTAACTTCCAAACTACGAATTCTCTGCATTATATTCACACCACACATTGCCCTCAGACATGACGTCTCCACTGCCTCCAGCCTTCTCCTCGCTGCAACATTCATCACCATGCTTCACACCATATAAGAGCGTTGGTTAAAACTATACTCTCATACATTCCCCTCTTTGCCTCCAAGGACAAGTTCTTTGTCTCCACAGACTCCTAAGTGCACCACTCACTCTTTTTCCCTCATCAATTCTATGATTCACCTCATCTTTCATAGACCCATCCGCTGACACGTCCACTCCCAAATATCTGAATACATTCACCTCCTCCATACTCTCTCCCTCCAATCTGATATTCAATCTTTCATCACCTAATCTTTTTTTATCCTCATAACCTTACTCTTTCCTGTATTCACCTTTAATTTTCTTCTTTTGCACACCCTACCAAATTCATCCACCAATCTCTGCAATTCTCTTCAGAATCTCCCAAGAGCACAGTGTCATCAGCAAAGAGCAGCTATGACAACTCCCACTTTGTGTGTGATTCTTTATCTTTTAACTCCACGCTCTTGTCAGACCCTCGCATTTACTTCTCTTATAACCCCATCTATAAATATATTAAACAACCACGGTGACATCACACATCCTTGTCTAAGGCCTACTTTTACTGGGAAATAATTTCCCTCTTTCCTACATACTCTAACTTGAGCCTCACTATCCTCGTATAAAAACTCTTCACTGCTTTCAGTAACCTACCTCCTACACATACACTTGCAACATCTGCCACATTGCCCCCCTATCCACCCTGTCATACGCCTTTTCGAAATCCATAAATGCCACAAAGACCTCTTTAGCCTTATCTAAATATTGTTCACTTATATGTTTCACTGTAAACACCTGATCCACACACCCCCTACCTTTCCTAAAGCCTCCTTGTTCATCTGCTATCCTATTCACCGTCTTACTCTTAATTCTTTCAATAATAACTCTACCATACACTTTACCAGGTATACTCAGCAGACTTATCCCCCTATAATTTTTGCACTCTCTTTTATCCCCTTTGCCTTTATACAAAGGAACTATGCATGCTCTCTGCCAAGGTACCTTACCCTCTTCCATACATTTATTAAATAATTGCACCAACCACTCCAAAACTATGTCCCCACCTGCTTTTAACATTTCTATCTTTATCCCATCAATCCCGGCTGCCTTACCCCCTTTCATTTTACCTACTGCCTCACGAACTTCGCCCACACTCACAACTGGCTCTTCCTCACTCCTACAAGATGTTATTTCTCCTTGCCCTATACACGAAATCACAGCTTCCCTATCTTCATCAACATTTAACAATTCCTCAAAATATTCCCTCCATCTTCCCAATACCTCTAACTCTCCATTTAATAACTCTCCTCTCCTATTTTTAACTGGCAAATCCATTTGTTCTCTAGGCTTTCTTAACTTGTTAATCTCACTCCAAAACTTTTTCTTATTTTCAACAAAATTTGTTGATAACATCTCACCCACTCTCTCATTTGCTCTCTTTTTACATTGCTTCACCACTCTCTTAACCTCTCTCTTTTTCTCCATATACTCTTCCCTCCTTGCATCACTTCTACTTTGTAAAAACTTCTCATATGCTAACTTTTTTCTCCCTTACTACTCTCTTTACATCATCATTCCACAATCGCTCCTCTTCCCTCCGCACCCACTTTCCTGTAACCACAAACTTCTGCTGAACACTCTAACACTACATTTTTAAACCTACCCCATACCTCTTCGACCCCATTGCTATGCTCTCATTACCCATCTATCCTCCAATAGCTGTTTATATCTTACCCTAACTGCCTCCTCTTTTAGTTTATAAACCTTCACCTCTCTCTTCCCTGATGCTTCTATTCTCCTTGTATCCCATCTACCTTTTACTCTCAGTGTAGCTACAACTAGAAAGTGATCTGATATATCTGTGGCCCCTCTATAAACATGTACATCCTGAAGTCTACTCAACAGTCTTTTATCTACCAATACATAATCCAACAAACTACTGTCATTTCGCCCTACATCATATTTGTATACTTATTTATCCTCTTTTTCTTAAAATATGTATTACCTATAACTAAACCCCTTTCTATACAAAGTTCAATCAAAGGGCTCCCATTATCATTTACACTGGCACCCCAAACTTACCTACCACACCCTCTCTAAAGTTTCTCCTACTTTAGTATTCAGGTCCCCTACCACAATTACTCTCTCACTTGGTTCAAAGGCTCCTATTACATTCACTTAACATCTCCCAAAATCTCTCTCTCTCCTCTGCATTCCTCTCTTCTCCAGGTGCATACACGCTTATTATGACCCACTTCTCGCATCCAACCTTTACTTTAATCCACATAATTCTTGAATTTACACATTCATATTCTCTTTTCTCCTTCCATAACTGATCATTTAACATTACTGCTACCCCTTCCTTTGCTCTAACTCTCTCAGATACTCCAGATTTAATCCCATTTATTTCCCCCCACTGAAACTCTCCTACCCCCTTCAGCTTTGTTTCGCTTAGGGCCAGGACATCCAACTTCTTTTCATTCATAACATCAGCAATCATCTGTTTCTTGTCATCCGCACTACATCCACGCACATTTAAGCATCCCAGTTTTATAAAGTTTTTCTTCTTCTCTTTTTTAGTAAGTGTCTACAGGAGAAGGGGTTACTAGCCCATTGCTCCCGGCATTTTAGTCGCCTCATACGACACGCATGGCTTACGGAGGAAAGATTCTTTTCCACTTCCCCATGGACAACAGAAGAAATAAAGAAGAACAAGAGCTATTTAGAAAAAGGAGAAAAACCTAGATGTATGTATATATATATGCATGTGCGTGTCTGTGAAGTGTGACCAAAGTGTAAGTAGGAGTAGCAAGATATCCCTGTTATCTAGCGTGTTTATGAGACAGAAAAAGAAACCAGCAATCCATTAATCCATTAATCCACATTAGTATTAAGATAAAATAAAGATCTATTAAAAAGTTAACCACACTTACCTTGTCTAGACTAAGTAGTTATTATGTATTTGGATAAGTCTGCCCAAAATGCCCTGGCATGATAGTGGCTTTCTTTGTACTTAACTAATCAAAATTGTAAATACACACTGTAACCTTGCAAAGAAATAAAATCTTTATCTTTATCTTTTATATACATTTGAAGTGTTGGTACCACTTTACTCTGATCCATTCCCCACCTTTTTTGCCTATGTAGATAAGCTTTTACTTCCATTAATGTCTTAACTCACCACCTGCCTTCTTCTCGTTTATTCTGTGGTTCATCTATTCTTTCACAGACCTATCTACCAATTTATTCACTTCCAAATACTGTACCTATTTATATTCTCTTTCTTCATAGTCCCTCCCTCCACTTTGATATCTAGCACAGTATGTACTTCATCAGTGATGGAGTGAATGATGGTGAAAGTTTTTCTTTTTCGGGCCACCCTGCCTTGGTGGGAATCGGCCAGTGTGATAATAAAAAAAAAAAAAAAAAAATAATAATAATAATAATAATAATAATAATAATAATAATAATAATAATAATAATAATAATATGCAGAAAGCCCCTTGTTGTGCAGAACATTTTGGGCAAATTAGGTCGATTTTGTCCCTAAGATGTGACCCACACCAGTCGACTAGTGTTTTTACCCGTACAAGAGATCGAACCACGGACATCAGTGTGTGAGCTATGTGCACTAGCAACTGAGCTATGGGACCCCTAAACATTTTTGTTACACACTCTACCAAACTCCTCTACCAATCTTTGCAACTTTTTCGGAAACTCCCAAAAGAAATGTGTCATTGGCAAAGAGTAGCTGTGACAATTCCCACTGTGTATCAGACTACGTACTTGTCTTTCAGTCCTGCACCTCTCCCCAACACCCTAACATTCACTTTTTTACAACTCTATCTAAAAATACATAGATCCTACTTTTATGGTAAAGCAGTTTGCTTTTCTCTTACATACCCTAATCTATGGTAACTTTACTGATTTTAGTAACCTACTACCTATTCTATACATTTGCAACATTTGCCATATTACTTCCCAATCCACCTTATCATATGCCATTTTTAAAATCCATAAATGCAAGAAAGAGTTCTTCACACTTATCTAAATATTGTTCATTCAAGTACTTCTATGTAAACACTTGGTCTACACATCCTCTATCCTTCCTCAATCCTCCTTGTTTCTCTGCAATCCTACTTTCTATCTTACCCTAAACTCTTTCAATGATAACTCTACCATATACTTTACCTGGCACTGTGTATTCAACAAGCTTATTACCCTATAGTTCTTACTCTCTCTTTTATCCCATTTCTTTTATGCAAAGGAACTTTTCATGTTCTCTGCCAACCCTCAGATACCTTCCTTTTTTATCCATATAATGAAGAAATGCACCAATCACTCCAAACCCTTATCTTCACTTGTTCTTCGCATCTGAGTCTTGTCTCATTCAACTGCTTTATCCACTGTCTCATGCACATTTCCCAGGCAGGCAGGCAGGAAGGTAGGCAGGTGTATGTTTATGTACTCACCTATCTGTGGTTGTAGGGGCTGGTTCTCAGATCCTGGTCCTGCCTTTTGCTTGCCAATCTTCAGTCATTCCCATTTACCCTCATGGGCCCTATTGTACCTGCTCTTAAAACTATGTATGAAGACTGTCTGCACCACTTCCTCACCAAGATCATTCTACTTCCTGACCACTTTGAGACTGAAGAAATACTTCCTAACATCCCTGTGGCTCATCTGTGTCTTTAACCCTTAAACTGTCCAAACCGATTTATGTTCACATGCGTAGTGCTCCAAAAGTAGATCTACGTTTTTTTTTACATATTTTCAAATATAACAAAAAAAAAAAAACGTAGATCAAAGTTTTTTACACGTTTTCAAATTAAAAAAAAAAAGATCTACGTTTTTTACATACTCTCAAATGTCAAAAAAACATAGATCTACATTTGGACAGTTTAAGGGTTAACTTCCAGCAGTCTCCCCAAGTTCCCATTTTTAACGTCTCAAATAGCCTATCCTTATCTGCTTAATCAATTTCCCTGAGTATTTTGTAAGTTGTTAACATGTCCCCTCTGGTTCTCCTGTCCTCCAATGTCATTAGGCCCAATTCTGTTAGCCTATCCTTGGAGCTCATAGCTAAGAAATACATAAGCCTTGCTGCATACTTCTACACGTTTTCCAGTTTCTTAATGTGCTTTTTCAGGTGCAGATTCTATATTGGTGCTGCATGCTCCAAGATTGACCAAGCATATGTTGTATAAAGGGCCCAGGATGACTCTTTGTTAAGTCTTGAAGAGTACTATTTGAAGCTCTGCAGAGGTTATTTGGCTGACGTGAGCCTCTGGCACTGGACTGAGAACTATGCTTACCCCTAGGTCTTTGTCTTTAAGTGAAGCCTGCAGCTTCTGTCCCCCTAGTCTATATCCCAACTCTAGTTTTCTGGCTCATTCCCCCAATCTTGCATTTACTTAGTATGAATTCAAGCTGCCACTATCTGACCACTCTCACATTTTTTTGTACATATTTGCATGCGTGTGTGTGAGTGAATAAGTGCATTTGTGCATGTGTATGACTGCCCTTTTGTAGTTACAGAGAAAGAGTTATCTCATAAGCAGCATACTATAAGTGTGAACAATGCATTGACTCATTGTGAAGATGTTACAGTTTTTGGGGACCAAGAGACTCAGAGAAAATAGATTGGCACAATTAGCAGGAATAGAAGGCCTTCTACTGGTGATTCTGACACTGAATCAAGTAAGATTCGTTGGGCACCACTGTCAACTCACTTGATATTTATATACAGGATCAGCTATAGTTCATGCACAGACACAGCAAAGTATGTATATTGAGGATAAAGGTGTTATCATGTATAGTATCAAGCATGCTTCTATTTCAGGGGTCAACTTTAAATTTTTTAGAACTTTGCTTTATAAGTTTATATCTCAAGCTCTGCCACAAAAGTACAGTATAGCATAAATATTAAAGCCATATTTCAACATTATTCTCAAAAGATTCAGTAAAAAACTGACATCAAATTTAAATACCCAACCCCCCTGTAATTATGACATCTGACACAATTTTGCACTGAGATTTCTAAATTAAATAAAAAATGTTCTATTACTCAGTAAATAACCTCACCTCATTTTTCCTGTGATCACCAGTACCATGCTTAATGTAAAGTTTTTCAGTAGTGGAGATGGTAGGGTGCAGATCTGGAGAATCATAAGCATACATGAACCAGAAACAGCCCCAGGCAAGGCCATACAGCCCAAATATTATGAAGACTGATGGCCATCCCCATTCTGTTTGAGTCAGCCATCCACTTATTGACAGTGTTACCACGGTTCCAATTTGACAGCCTGAAATTGATATTCAACAAAGCAATGTTTATTATAAAATTGTGCTTAAAGTGAAGACTGGATCATATTGTTATAATAATAACTGGTAAAACTCCTAGGTGGAAGTCAACATCACTGTTATCATCATCTCCATATCTTTCTTTTCATTAAGGAAGAATTGTCTCCTGTGTTTTACTAGGATTGAATGAACAACTAGATATAAGAGAAAAAGATTAAGAACCAAGTAAAAATGTTAAAATAGATTAAGAAACACACAATGATGTTCAGGAGCATACCTCCAACAATACGAGCTAAGGAACGTGCCCGCTCCTGAGGTGGAATCCAATATGACATCATCACATTCATGGCTGGGAATGTCACACCCTGGAGTGAAGCAAACAACAGGTTAATGTACATTCTTAAGTGAATTTAGTTAAATAACACATTGGATATCATGTGATGATATCTGATGTGTTAATAAAAAATAAAATGAAATTTAAAAGCCAAATTTCAAGGTTTAGGAAGTCCCTGACTAATGAATGCTCGAATTATGATCTGTGCTTAAGACCGAGGTCCAAATAACACAATATTGAGAAAATAATATCTTAAGAATACTGATCTGTAGATGTGGCAATGCATGCATATGACAAGGAAAGTATGTAGAGATAAATTACTGTATTATTCACCTCAGTCATTCCTTCTAGAATTCTTATGATAACAAATGCAGTAGAGGAATGTCTGGCTGCCATTGGTGAGATGACAGTGAGAAGCCCAGTAAGTGTCACCCCTGCACCGAAAATAAGCCGTCCTCCCAATCTCTCGGCCAGTCTTCCACCAAGGTAGTTTGTTAAGAGGTAGCCATAAAAGAAACTCCCAAGGATCATCCCCTGGGTTTTTTCATCCCAGTCAAATTCTCCTTTCTATATACATAAAAAGAAAAAAAAGTGAATGTCAGGTATGGCAGCTACCATATTTTATGGCATCAAAGATGCTATTTTTTTTTTTCCAAAATAAGTCTTGAAAATTTATCCAGCATCTTGGAGGCTGAAGTATTGTTTATCTTTTTTTGCAAAATTTAGCAAATCAGAATGGGGAGGGGGGGGATCCTCAATACAAGAGCATCTTGTTTTCCATAAAATACAGTAATTATACCAGATATTTAAATACAAGTTGACCTGGGAGATAACAAGGTAGTCAAAAATATAGAGTACAAATTTTCCAAAACATTTGTCAATATCCCTACTCAGGAATAATAATTGCAAAATCAAACATTTACCACAGAATCCTATAAGCTCAGTTTGCTTTCATATAGACATGGTTGTCACCATTTACTTTGAATGTTATAGTCTTGATATTTACTGTTTATAAGAAACCTGCATATCTGCCAATTTTTCAAGAAAACAGCATAACCTTGGTCCTGAGTATGAGTGTTGTTACAGAACTTACATATACAGCCTCTCCTCATTTAATGACAGAGTTCCGTTCCTAAATCCGTGTTGGTAAACGAATTCATCGCTAAGTGAGGAGCATACTATAGTGGTAGTGGGTTTGTGTCAACCATCTTTGATATTGTGTTAATGTCAACTTTGCACCATTTATAACATTTCTGGCATATTTTTAAATGTTTATACAGCAGTGAAGTACTATATATTGTAATAAACAGAATAGAGGAAATCAGCTTTAATATACATTTTTTTAGGTATGTATACTGGTCAGAGAGCCCATTGTAAGTCTGAGTTGTCAGTAAATGAGTACGTCACTAAACGAGGAGAGGCTGTAATCATATACGTATAGTACTTACAATTTCGGAAGACATTGCCTGTCTTTTCTGTGACACAGACACTGGACATGTATCATCAACTCTAACGATTTGCTTTTGACTGTGGGGATGAGATTTAACCATTGCAACAATGGCCACAGACAAGTTAACTCGCATGGCATAAACGCCAGCAAATCCCAAAAATAATAAAATGATGAGGACGTGGCGCTTTCCAAATCCTGAAAAAAAAAAAATCGAGATAAAATGTAATTCGTCATAAAATGTTGCAATAAAGATATTCTGATAGCTCCAAACATTAAAATTCTATTTTTTTCCTTGTTGCATATTTTAATTTAGCTTATATATTTTGGGTCCTAATACAGTGGACCCCCGCATAGCGACTTTAATCCGTGCAAGAGGGCTCATTGTTATGCGAAATGATCGGTATGCGAATGAATTTTCCCCATAAGAAATAATGGAAATCAAATTAATCCGTGCAAGACACCCAAAAGTATGAAAAAAAAATTTTTACCATATGAAATATACATTTTCCTACACACAAAGAGAAGGATACATGCACAATAGTAGAGTAGTACATGCACAATATATATTGTGCATGTACTACTCTACTAAATGAAGAATAAATGACACTTACCTTTATTGAAGATGCAGCAATGACTGATGAGACACTGTGTCCTGGGAGTGCCTTTTCCTCCTGAGTACTGTAGGTCCTGTTTGGCATTTTCTTCCAGAACAGGCTTATCACACTGTGTATGCCACTACGATTCTTAAATCTCTCAAACCAACCTTTGCTGGCTTTAAATTCACCAATATGAGCACTAGTTCCAGGCATTTTTCCCTGTTCACCTGGGTGTTAGTCGACTGGTGTGGGTTGCATCCTGGGAGACAAGATTAAAGACCCCAATGGAAATAAGTTAGACAGTCTTCGATGACACTGACTTTTTTGGGTTATCCTGGGTGGCAAATCCTCTGGGGCTAATTGTTTCTTGGTATTCTCAATAAGCCACACCAACAACGGTGTTACAGCAGCAGCAGCAGCAGCTGACAGTGCTACAGCAGCAGCAGACGATGCTACAGCAGCAGCAGATGGTACTACAGCAGCAGCTGACGGTGGTACAGCAGCAGCAGCAGCTGACAGTGCTACAGCAGCAGCAGACGATGCTACAGCAGCAGCAGACAGTACTACAGCAGCAGCAGCAGCAGCAGCAGCAGCAGCAGCAGCTGACGGTGGTACAACAGCAGCAGCAGCTGACAGTGCTACAGCAGCAGCAGACGATGCTACAGCAGCAGCAGACGATGCTACAGCAGCAGCAGACGGTACTACAGCAGCAGCAGCAGCTGACGGTGGTACAACAGCAGCAGCAGCTGACAGTACTACAGCAGCAGCAGATGATGCTACAGCAGCAGCAGACGATGCTACAGCAGCAGCAGACAGTACTACAGCAGCAGCAGCAGCTGACGGTGGTACAACAGCAGCAGCAGCTGACAGTGCTACAGCAGCAGCAGATGATGCTACAGCAGCAGCAGACGATGCTACAACAGCAGCAGACGGTACTACAGCAGCAGCAGCAGCTGTACCACCAATAGTAGCGATGGTTGATTGGGGTTTATTATACAACCTGGCCAGCTCGGAGACACGCACTCCACTTTCATACTTATCAATGATTTTTTTCTTCATCTCTATAGTAATTCTCACCCTTATTGCTGTAGGGTTGGCACTAGAAGCTTTCTTGGGGCCCATGGTCATTTATTTTGCAGATAAAATCACCAAAAACACTGTAATAATACGAAATGTTCCGATTGTATGCTTGGATGTTACCGCGGAGGCTGGCTGGTAAACAATGCCACCGGCGGCACATGTGAGGCTGGCTAAGGGCGCACATTGGACGCGTCTTGGACGAAGAGCGGTGAGCGGGTTTTTGAGCGGTATGCGAGGCAAAATTTTTGCGATAAAAGCGAGCGGTATGCGGATTGAACGTTATGTGATGCGTATGGTATGCGGGGGTCCACTGTACTTAAGAGAAACTAGTCCTATGAATACATATTTAAAAATTTAATTAAATTTTATTAAATTTTTTCACCTCTCTATTTATAAGTAAAAACTTCTCAGTATCCATTCAGCTCCAATTATTTCTTAATTTACATCTGTGGGCTCTTGTTATTCCTGCTGAAGATACTAAAAAAAAATTCATCTAATAATCCATTTTGCTGCTCTACCACATATATGTAGTACTACGGTATTTGTGCATACACGGTCAACGACTTGAGACTATTTCAACCCAATTATTAAATAGCAGAAAGTCAGCCATAAGAACAATGTCACTTCCAGCTTTAGATAATTTACAATACTTCTATTCAAAGTTTTAAACTTACTAAGTAATAACACACAAGCCAATCATGCATTCTACTGTTCTTAGAACCATGCCCGAAATGCCTAGCCATGCTAAGCGTTCTAGTGGTACACTCTGTAATCACAATTTTACTACATGTAAACCAAGCAATAACCAAATTTCTGTAAACCCAGCATTGTAATCCTTATAGAGAATAAACTTTGAATTTTGAATAAACTCTAAAACTAATCTTTCTAGAGAGCTGCAACAAAACTAAAGATTTTACAACCTTATATAAATTTAAAGCATATATACATGTATAAGCACTTCTACTTTGGTGGGAAATAGCTGATAAAAAAAAGTTTATACTCCTTGTAAATTATGTATATTGTATTTACTTATTATTCCTACTAAAGTTATCACAAGTACATGTATTATATTTTTATCATTTATTAATTCAAGTACAAATAGGTAATTACAGAAGCATATAATTGGTAGGGTACTTTTTTGCAAAATTTATTATAAAAGTCTTACATATCTTACACAGAAGTCAATACTACAATATATATAGTGTACTCAAAATATTATAATTAAAAAGATTTTATCACATAATCCAAATGTTTTAGTATTCATTGAATTAAGTATAGAATTTTATTGTATTTCTGGCAATATGCTTGTATTTTCATGAATAATTAATAAAAGTGTAACAAACACTTGTCAATGCTCAATAATAACTCACATGAAAACAGAAACTCAGAAAATATACTGGTCTTCATATTTTAACCCCCTACAAGGGTCCTCTTCAGCAAATCCAAAAATGAAAGGTGCAAAGGCTGAGAGGTGCAACCTTCCTATATATTGTATTTTCATGTTTATTAGAATTTTTAGTGTTATTAAAAGTGCCTTTTTACTAACTTTTATATTTATTTATTATATTTAATATTATTATGGTAAGAGTAACTATAAATTCTTTCTTTTGCATTACAGTGCAAGTACTGCATTAACATTAAACATTCTGAAACACTTACTTAAGTCTGGAGAATTACTATGTCCCATATTTTCATCATCTTTCTGAAAGAGAAGGGCATACATATACTTATTAAGAAGTGACTTAGAAAGACATTTCTTGAATAGAATCATTACAACGTATTCTCCTCAGCAACTTATATATAGTACAAACACTGGATGTACTTTTAACAAATTTCTCCACACATCTGGTGACATCATGGTCTGCAGACATCTTTTTTTGCCAGATGCTTTGAGGTATTTGTAGCATTTGTAGCTTTGATGGTATTTGTAGCATCAGTTCTCTGTGAAACATTTTAGGCTTTCTCTGTCAGTATAGGCCAAGAAATAGATAACCTTTACTGTGATGTTTGCAAAACCATTCACAGACAATAATATCAACACTGGAGCTTGAAGGCCCATGTAATATCTTATCAGTACTAATAACCAAAGTCTTAACATTCTCAATTTGAGTAAAATTTGAAAATTTATTTTTTCAATGCTCGAAAGCACAAAGGGATATATATATATATATATATATATATATATATATATTTATATATATATATATATATATATATATATATATATATATATACAGTATATATATTATATATATATATTTTTATATATATATAAATATATATATATAATTATATATATATATATTGTATTATATATATATATATATATATATATATATATATATATATATATATATATATATATATATATATATATATATATATATTATATATATATATATATACATATACATATATACATTATACATATGTACATATATACTATATATAATTATATTATATATATATATATTATATATATATATATATATATATATATTTTTATATATATATATATTATAATATATATATATATATACACACACACACATACACACAGTACAGTACAGTACTGTACTTGCCCATTATAAACACTTACTCCAAAACATATATACTTTGGGTTATGTTGGTGATATGGACTACTTCCTCTCTGACACTTAAAGAACACAAGAGAGCATTCTTCTCTGTCAGGTTAGGGACCATAGCCAACACATAACTTGCCTATCTATTGTAATGCTACTTTTTACTGGATTGATAGTGTGGTTTGATTTGATTTTGCAGAACAAAGTTATTTCTCAACACTTGTTACTGTCTGCATTTGATCCTCTTTAAGGCACCTTCCTCATCAGTCACCAACATGCAAAAGAGATGTAGAAATTTTACTCCTAGGTAGACATATCAATGCAATTAATGAATTTATGCAGAAATAGAGATGGGGTTCCATACACAATACATCAGGCTATGTCTTGTGAAATGTAAGCAATCACAAAAGTCAACTTGACCTAGTGTAATTACCTATTTGCTGGTAATTAACACCTGAGTCTAACCTGAAGTGGTAATTAAAAAAATACTGCCACCACACCTAGGTTCATTAAAAACAAAATGAACTGGCCAGTGGAAGTGTGACATTAACAATAATTTCCAAGTGTTAACAATTCTGGATTCACAGCATTCAGCTGTATATATATGGGATATGCTTAAGAGAATTATAAAACATGTTTTTTCATTCATATAAAGGCAAGTTTTCAATCTTCAATTTTATAACATCAGAAGTTACTTGCTGTAATTTAGAAATAACCCACACTTCAAAAGGAAACTTTAAATGATGCATTATTCTGCCCTGCACCATTATTAAGTCATAACATGACAATGGTATAGAATGAATCAAAACATTGTCTAAAGTTTACTCTCTTAGTATGGGTTATTTTTTTCATTATTCCAGCCATGGTATTGTGACTTTTATTCTACCTGCTGTAAGTTTGGAGGTGACTGATGCTTGAGGTCATCCACAAGGTTGACCCGAGAATAACGAACGTGAGACAGCAGCCATGACCATAAATGTAGAAAATTCCAATTTCTCATGCTGTGCCAAAGAAAAATCATCTACAATAAAGCTTATCATTATTTAGATATTTTTTCATTTACATAATCCCATGTTACATTTCTAGAGAAAACATCCAATTGCAGGATATAAGAATCAAGAAGAATCAATTTAATAATCAGATAAACAGTATGTATGTACGTATATATGAATGTCTGTGTGCATGTGCATATGTGTGTATGACCTATTTGTACTAACCTATTTGTGGTTGCAGAGGTTGAGTCACAGCTCCTGGCCCTGCCTCTTCATTGGTTGCTACTAGGTCCACTCTCTCCCAGCTCTAAGAGCCTTATTATACCTTTTCTTAAAGCTATGTATGGATCCTGCCTCGACTATTTCACTCTCCAGATTGTTCCACTTTTTGTGTGTGTGTTTCTGTAATGTGTATTTAGTAAATGTAGTAAAAAGTATAATAAAAATAGGTGATCAGTTTTGTCTAACCTCCAGATCTCAAGCTTTCTAATGATACCATATTTACTGCCTCATAATAATAAGACAAATTTATTTAAACAGTTTTTTTAAAAAAAAGGAGAGAAAATAAGATGAAACAATGATGAATGGTATAACAGAAGGTGCTGGAGAGCCATCAACAAGAAACTGGACTCAAAACAGAATGAGTGGCAATCCAGATTTTTAACAGACTTCAAACATGTCAGAAATTAATACAGTATATAAATAAAAGGAGTAAGTAAGTAAGTAAGTTTATTCAGGTATACACAAATACAGTTACATGCATTATCACACATAGCAGCATATGTGTAGAGAACCTAGGATCACCCAAAAAGTTAGACAAAGTGACTTGTTTCCATTAGGGTCCTTTTAATACCTTATTATTATACAATAAAGGAGATATACTAGAAATATCATAAAATGAGTTATTTATATTTACATGTGTGTTAGCTAAAAAAATAAAAAATCATTCTCCTCCCTTTCTGTCACTACATTCATTAGGCACCTTTTAGCTCTCTTCTTGAACTGGTTCATGCTTTGACTGGCTTTGACATGTGCAGGCAAGATACTTTGGAAAGCTAATGCTGAAGACAACAGCAAAATAAACCAAATCTTTTATTTATGCTCACAAAGTTTTTGGGTATATTCTCTCCTTTGAGATATTTTAGGTCAAGACGTGATATCTGTGTCAGCCATTTAAAACGTTTAGAAAAATAATAGGAATACAATATGTCGTCATTATAAAATGTCTTCCTTATATATTTATAATGAATATATGCAATATTATCATGTTTAATTTTTAAATGCAAATTACATATATGCACTGTAATACTGATGTAAATGACAAGCTAAATAGAAAACAAATTATACAACTTGACTTTAGTTACAAAAAATGTTAGGCATAAATGCACTTGCAAAAAAGGAATAACAAATACTGTATGGAAAACAAGGAAGAAAAAGAGCAATTTTGGTTACAACTAAACAAGATAAATACACCAAAGCTATTAGTGCACTTACTCCTTGGTCTTCTGAAGAATATTAATAAATATGCTTGTCGACTTTCATGGCAACATAACTTACATTTACAAGGTCTGTTCACTTGGCATATTGATACATTCTTACAGAAAACGACATTATAACCCACTTTGCTGAGGTCTGCCACAGTATCCTCCTGACAACGTGTCAACACCTGAGATACTTCATTCCTTTATTTTAATCCCATCCTCCCTCCCTTCCTAATTACACTCATGTGTAATAAAATGAACAAAACTTGTATATGACGTCTCACGGAGGAAAAAAATACGATATAAGAAGTTACATTTATCTGCTAGTGATTTATTAGCAAGGTTTATGTGATGCCGTGGAAAAGACGGAATGTCAGAGTTCAGTTTGTTTATAAACATGTCAAGTGACGTCACAAGCCGGACTCAGGGGGTCAGCTGGCACCCAAATTTAATAATAATAATAATAATAAAAATAATAATAATAATAATAATAACAGCAACAACGGTAATAATAATAATAATGATAACAATAATAATAATAATAATAATATCAGCAACAACGGTAATAATAATAATAATAATAATAATAATAATAATAATAATAATAATAATAATAATAATAATAATAATAATAATAATAATATAATAATAATGATCATAACATCAATAATAATAATAATAACGATAATAATAATGTATTTCAACATGATACAATGTACAGAGATGGGTGACATTTAGCGTGCATGCAAGTCCATAGTTATGCAGATTTTCGTTTTAAATACAAATTTTATATTTCTTCCTGTGGTACAAAAATAATGAAGCTTACATGCAATAAAACACTGGCAGGCACAAAAGAAAGCCACTATTTATACAATTCATTTCGGACAAACTAGACACAGACTATTAAGAAGAACTAATGTAGTTAATTACAATCATAACTATAATTGGAAAAGGCAGCTGATGAACAAAAGGTCAATTTCAAAAGAATTATATATTATTTCAAACAGATTCAATAGTCCTCAGTTTTGCAGAGTGAATAGAGATGAAGATACAGCAAGTTACTTATATTAAGGTACTTTTTAACAGGATGCTACAAACAGGGAGGTTCCAGATTTAAGGAACTTTTATGCCCATTGAGTTTTTACACAAATTTTCTGTCGGACAAGAGGTTTTTGTTATGCCTTTGTTCCGCTGAAGCTGTCAAAGACATTACAGTGAAGGGTTTATATTGGAACTGTCATAAATATATAGTAGGCACAGCAGTACGAGTCCATATTTTGTATACAGTATTAAGTTCAAGTGGCTTTTTGTTGGGCTATTAATGGGTTTTAGGTGATTAAGTGTAATATCCACGTGTGTTGGAATTGGATATTAAATTTCAATTAGTTGCACTTGTGTCCTTTTACCTAACATTAAATTTCAAGTTGAGATATACCCTCGTGTGTCTCACTGTTTGTTGCTAGTCTTTCATGTAGATATTTTTAATGGCTCTTTATTAACAGTCGCTAAGAGAAGCTGTGTCATCTGTGGAGAGAAAGCAGCGCTGTATAGCCCTTGTGGTTTAGCGCTTCTTTTTGATAACAATAATAATAATGTGGAGAGGAATTCAAGGAGATGAGATGCATTGGGGAGATCATTGATGTATGAGATTTTTTTCGAATTTTTAACCCCGGAGGGTTAGCCATTGAGGGACTGTCTTGACTCATGAAATCGTAATGACACGATTGCAAACAAACCACAGTATGACTTACTTGCCGCGAGTTTAATCCCTACCCGTACTGTGGTTTGATTGTCTTATTCCCATTGTGGACTTTAAATCTTGTCCCCCAGGATGCCACCCACACCAGTTAACTAACACCCAGGCACTTGCTAGGTGAACGGGACAGCAGGTGTAAAGAAACACGCCCAATGTTTCCTCCCTTGCCGGGATTGAACCAGTCACTCAGCCTGAGGCGAGAGCGTTGCCTACCAGGCCGCGGTCCACCAGAGTAAAGGCGTAAAGAACACTGCCTTAAGGAACTCCTACGTTGACTGGCACAACTGACGAGGTCACACTTTAGGTACAGACATATTGGTATCTTTTTGCTAAAATAAGACTCTAGGTATACACACTTTTTCTACTTCTATATTTGTAAACATATGTTTCATGGATAATTTAATTAAATATTTACAAATCAAATATATTTATATGCATTAAATAAATATATTTATTTAACTTGGTAAAATTATAGTAAATAAGTATATATACATTATATATATATATATATATATATATATATATATATATATATATATATATATATATATATATATATATATATATATATATATATATATATATATATATATATATATATATATATATATAATATATATATATAATTATTTGCTATAATTTTACAAAATTCTGTAATATAAACGTACTTTTTGCAAATATAATTGTTTGTTTTGTTTGTGGAATGAGAGAAAGTGTTGAGTGTTGGATCCTGGACGACCTCACCCTCACCTCCTTCATAATATTATTATAAATACTTCACCAACATAATGTTGCACTCCTGCAGTATATAAGGAAGGTAAAAAAAATAGACCATCTCATGGTTATTAAAATAATGTTGGTGCATTATATGTGGAATTACTACCAGCATATAGGGCTATTTTTTTTTTAGATCAGCTGATGCTAAGAAGTCAATATAAACAAACCTTTGATGAACTCTGTAAGATTATTTAGGTACAGATACACATAAGTACAGTTATTATACATAGTGTAAATTACCTAGGATAACCACAAACAAAGTCGGACACGGTGACCTATTTCCACTAGTATTGATGCTGTGGTATTGACAGTAAAAGAATATATTACTATTTGTACCCTTGTGGGTTTAACGCTTGTTTATAAGTATTTATTGCTGTTGTATGCCTATATTGCTTACACACATTTATATGTATGTAATAATTATATATATATATATATATATATATATATATATATATATATATATATATATATATATATATATATATATATATTATAATATATTATATATTATAATTATTTATTTTATTGCAACACTTTGGGACGTGTTTTACATGTGTCAGATTCACCATTGTACATTTCCTTGCTGGTAATATTTATATACTGATGGAAATGCAATATATCGCAATGATTGACTCTATTGGGTTATTCTAGGTTAAATCTATATAAGTAAGTTTGTTCAGGTACAGGTACACACAAATGCAGTTACATAAATTGTCATACATAGTAACATATTAGTATGTATAAATTACCAGGATAACCCAAGAAAGTCAGACAAAAGTGATTCATTTCCACTGGGATCCTTGAAATATCTTATTGTTAACCTTATCTTATTATTTAACCTTAAAAATTAAGAGAGGTAAGTACTAATTCAACTACTTGAAAAGCAATTACAATTAAAGGAGACATACTAAGAATAAAGTAAACGGGTTATTTACATTAACATTAAAGAGAGGATCAGGTAGGTAATAGGTACATGTATGTTAACTACTTGTATTATACAGTATGTATATTCATTACAAGCGTGCTTAAATATTAGTATTGGTATCAGTGGGTATTGACTAATTTCGATGGTATAGGTATTGGCCAAAAATTGTGTATCTGTATTAGCATCAGTAGCAATGGGCTAATTTTAATGGTGTCAGTATCAGCAAAAATTTTGGTATTTGTCCATCACTAGTGTTCATGGCTCTCAAAATCATTATACAGTATATGAAATTTGTGCTTGTAAACCATTATGGATTGCCTACTCTTGGTGAGCATTATTTATACCAAATATTTATTATACTTTTACTGTTTCCCTTGAAACACATTTCATTACTTTACCCTCTGAAATGGTTAGCCATTTATAAGTAAGTTTATTTAGGTACAGGTCCACATAAGTATAATTATCATACTTTGTTTGGTAATTTAGGCAGCTATCTCATATGATGATGTCTTGAAGGAGATTGAAGATGGTGGTAAGTACATATCATGAAAGGTCTTCAAAAGTGATGATACTCGACTGTACTTGAAGCAGATGTTGTCAAGGCAGTCAGTAATTAACTTTATTTTGATAGCTACTGGGAAGTAATGCAGCAAGAAATTTGAAACTGTGCTACTTTTAGTCTACCATAGAAATGCTAAGAAAATTTAGGTCTGTAGGTAATTCACCTTGTATTTCAAAGGAGGGTTCTGGAAAGCCTTAGACTGAATTTTTTCTTGGTGGACTCATTTCCCTACTGCTTTTTTACAATCTGTCGTGCCTCCCATTCTCGTAAGGGGTTATTTCAATGTGCAGTTTTAGAACCATTTCTTACAGCATTTTCCAGTTGTAAATTATAATGTATCATTTTTGCCCACACTTTTAGAAGTGCAGTTTGGCGGACTGCATTCTGTACTTTATATACTTCCTCCAACTCTGCAAGTTTGCCTGCCCTAAACTAGGCTGTTAGTACAGCAGTATTTTAATCTAGAGAATACACTGTATCTGCCCTAAAGAGTATCATCATTGATTTTGCATCTCATATTTTAAAGGGTCTTTTCATCCAGCCTATCATATTCTTTGCAGTTGTGATAATAAGACTATATTGTATGATGGTCCTTGAAATAAAATAGTCTGATATGGTTATCCCAGGTCCCTTATACATGTATTATTCTTGTGAATGAGTTGGGCTAATGTTAGGTTAAAAAGCTTCATTTTTTAGTGTTTATCAGTTGCTTTGACAGTATTGTATGTGGTCACTGAATTCATGTGTGATGCCTACCACTAAATCTTCACTTATATCATAAAGTATTACATGTAGGGGAGAGTAGTGATACAGTACTGTAGTTTGGACAGTGTGATATAATGGACAGTGTATTTTCAGATTCAATTGAAGCATTAAACTGAGCTACTCAAGACTTTGCGAGAAGTTTGATGTTTAATGATGAAATCATGTCCACCATCACTGCCAGAGCTAATCCCCACAATATATATCCTAGGTAATTTTTTAATGTTTTATGTGCTATAGCTTTGTGTCAGATATTTCTTGAACTAAATTACAATTCATCTTTAATGTATTGCAAAGGAATCTGTGTATCATGTGCATTCATATCTGCATTGGATACACTGGCCATACCCGTGGGATATTCCAAACAACTGCCTGGAGTATCACATGGTTTGATTATATAATAATTTGTTATGCAAATTATAAATAATGAAAATAGCAATTTACAATATGCATATTTAATTATTTTAAATATTTAAGCTGTTTTGTTTCTCTACAGATAAACGTAGAGTACTCCAGAATTCTATAGTCATGCCAGGATTGCACAAGAAAAATATATCAAGAGTTTGAGATTGTTTCTTTCTAAACAGCTCTTAAAGAGGTCAGAAAAGGTAGGTGTTCAGTTAGGCATGCTGCTCTTGAATATAAATATTGAAAGATGTAGCAAAACTATGGTTTGGCAGCATAGTTGTAGAAATCGGGAACAAATTGTCAAGTAGTCTCACTGAAGCAAACACATTGGCCTAAATAGATAGATACTCAAGTGTGAAGGTTAGGTGCTAGTAAAACCTGCCTAGCTTAGGTCAATAAATCTACAGCAGCCATTTTATATGTTCTTTATTATGTTCTTAAATTTAAGCTTTGCTGTGAGAGTAAAATCCAGTCAAAAGAGTCTCTAGTCATCCTAGAAAATATGTTTATGCAAGAAAATGATTGAATGGATTTCTGGGCTTTCTTGTTCTTGACTGATATGACTAAGCATCCCACTCATTGGTGAGGATTAACCCACTGGGGTTGTAGCACCTTATGGTATGATACATAATAGTACTGGGTGTAGGATCAGCAGGGTGTCGCATGGTCCTGTGTCGATTTCATTCCCTGGATGCGGCAGGTGTGGCAGCTGATGAATGGATGTGGATCACATGATGAAGTGACCTGCATGGGTGAGACATAGGGCTGTCACTGTGATGGCTGCGACCTCAGTGGTGATCATGGGCTGCAGGTGCAGCATCTGAGGTGCTGTTCCGTCCTAGACTGGTCTGCATGAGATGCTGGGCTGCAGATGCTATGGCGATCGAGTGCCACATCATGGGGGAGCATCCTGACATGCACATCTGCAGCGAAGATCACTCGCCGAGTCGCTCGAGAGCGTCGGCATCCATCATCGATCTGCAGGGGCGCCTCATTGCATCCTGGCGATCACAACTCATCTATCCGTCCTCATCAGTCTCAAATGCTCACAGCGTCACTCCCAGTCTCCTCCTCACTCCCTCATTCTCCTCCTCTTCTCTCCCTCTCCTCTACTCTCCTTCCACCTTCCCTCCCCATCCCTTCATCCTCCCTGCCTCTCTCCTCCTCTCTTTCTCACCCTCCCCTCACTTTTCCTTTCCTCCTCCTCCCCCTCCTCCTCCCCTCCCCTCCCCTTCCTCCCTCCCCTCCTCCTCCTCCCCCTCTTCCTCCTCCCCCTCCTCCTCCTCCCCCTCCTCCTCCCCCTCCTCCCCCTCCTCCTCCCCCTCCCCCTCCTCTCCTCCTCCTCCTCCTCCTCCCCTCCTCCTCCCCCTCCTCCTCCTCCTCCTCCTCCCCCTCCTCCTCCTCCCCCTCCTCCTCCCCCTCCTCCTCCCCCTCCTCCTCCCTCCCCTCCTTCTCCTCCCCCTCCTTCTCCTCCCCTCCTCCCCCTCCTCCTCCCCTCCTCCCCTCCTCCCCCCTCCTCCTCCTCCCCTCCTCCTCCCTCCCTCCTCCTCCTCCCCTCTCCTCCTCCCTCCTCCTCCTCCTCCCCTCCTCCTCTTCCTCCTCCTCCCCCTCCCCTCCTCCTCCTCCCCCTCCCTCTCCTCCTCCTCCTCCTCTCCCTCCTCCTCCTCCTCTCCCTCCTCCTCTCCTCTCCCTCCTCCTCCTCTCCCTCCTCCTCCTCCTCTCTCCCTCCTCCTCCTCTCCTCCTCCTCCTCTCCCTCCTCCTCCACCTCCTTTTCCTCCTCCTCCTCCACCTCCTTTTCCTCCTCCTCCTCCTCCTCCTCCTCCTCCTCCCTCCTCTTCCTCCCCCTCTTCCCTTTTGCCCCTCCTCCTCCTCCTCTTCCTCTTCCTCCTTCTCCTCCCTCCTCTTCCTCCCCCTCTTCCCTTCTGCCCCTCCCTCCCCCTTCCTTCCTCCCCTTCCACTGCCCCTCCCTCCTCCCCCTCAATGTTTGGACAGTTTAAGGGTTAAAAAATAAAAAAATTATCAGATATACATTACTGTATATGCTCAATAATAACCCATGTGGAGACAAACACAGGTCAGAATATACAGATCAATTAATCTCCAGTGTTTCTGTCTCCATGTGGGTTATTATTGAGCATTGATAAGTGTTCATTACACTTTAGTTATTCATTACTGTATATTTTAGGATACAAGGCCAGGGATACCCCACTTGATAGTCCTAGTACAATCAAACTATATATTTAAATAAAATAAAATTTGAAGCAAATGATAATAATTCCCAAGAGAACCATGAGTGATAATGTAAAAACAATAATACTTTATCAGTAATATAGTACACAATGGATATTTCATTGAAGGACCAAGACTAATAAGTTCAGTATCTTGTGTTTTAGATAGATATGACAATAGGTCTTTTATCTGCTGCGTCACATACTGTAGCTTCAGTGCTGATCGTTATTTCCTTAACACCTTAGGAAAAATTTTTAAGTGTAGATATGCAAAAGCTATTAATTTACGAATTCATTGCGATATATGTAGTAAAATGTGGCAATTATGATGCATCTCATTATTATAGTTTGGTCTCCAGCTCTTGAAAGTGCTTGGTAAGTTAAGTACCTTATGACATCATCAGCCTTGCTGGTGCTTGAGAACCATGGGTAATTTGTTAAGCTTGCTACCTTGACCTCATCAGACTTGCAACTCATATTGTCCTTGAAGTTTCTTTATCTCTGAGAGTGTTTTATAAATAAATACCACTGAGAAATTGGAGGATAGAATTTTGAAGGCTCATAATTAAACTTATTCTAGTGGAGAAGAGATAAGAGCAGATAAGTGATAAGAACCAGAGGAGTGCCACAGTTGCAGCAAGGAGAGAGAGAGACCAGTAGTTGAGTTAATAATGTTTTAAAGTTGCACTCTATTTGTACACCAACTTGCAAATTAACACCTTTATCTTGTGTACAGTATTTTTCTGTTGTTTTACTCAAAAGGCTGAGATAAATACAGTGTACCATATTAAGAATTAGTGGTAAAAATTTATTGTGCATTTTTAATTTGATTATACATGAAGGATATCCTTATTTCAGGTATTCTTAGTTACTTATTTATTACCTACTTGTGATTATAGGAGCAGACCTATGCTTGTGGTTTCCCATTTTCAGTACTATATTCATCATACATATTTTATAAATTTCCAATTGTTGTAGCTCTTAATACCTCCTCTTTCAATTTATTTCATTCCTGTACCACTATTTGCATAGAAAATTTTTCTATTATTTCTTTGTCTCAGTTTTTTTCAAAATCTATATCTGTGGCCTCTTGTTATCCTCCTTTCAGCCAGTACAGTATAGGCATCTTTAGTGTTTTCTACCTTTTATCATAACTCATTTTCTTTTAACTCTGGGATCTGTTTTGTAGTTCTTCTTGGGTCTAAGGTATGCTATCACCCCCTGGGATGCAACCCACAGCATTCTGCTAACACCCCAGGTACCTACTTACTCCTAGGTGAACAGGGGCAGCAAGTGCCCACCATTTTTACCCATGCTGATCATCGAACTACAGATCCCTCAGTATGTGAGTTGAGTGCACTACTGGCTGAGCCATGGGACACCTCAAATATTTATGTGAAGTGATAAACCTGTGTTGGTCATTCAAAGCAAGGAGTGGTAGAGACTCATTTCTCTGTTTGGTAATAGCAAGATAGAAAAACTACTCTTGCAGCCAGGCTTTTTCCTTAAATTGTTTAGAGATGCTCTTTTTTATAGCTTGTTTTCTGTTATGCATGTAATTCGCACTGGGTAATGCTGACCTTTCTGTAGGAAATGTAAGTACTGATATTCATTTGAAAATTCGTTGCTGTACTTAAGATAATTTTATTTCAATAACATTAAAAAGTCTGCCTTGATGATAAAAGGTTTGTATTTTTTTAGCAGGTACCCTTAAGTATATGAATCTGGGAACCATGCGAAGATGATAGAGAGTACTGGTGATGAACATGGAAATTGGAATTTTATATCTGTTCTTTCAAGAATTGCATTTGCATCTTCTATTTCAAGCTTTTTGATCATCATAGTCACAGGTGAGATGACATATTAGATTTTTCTTATACAGTAGCAATTTATAATGACAAGTCATTCATCATTTATTTAAACCTGATATTATTTGAAGGAGTAATAAAATTAAATGGAGGGAAGGAGTAAGGCTCGAAAGAATTGCACAGCACACAATCATAGCTGTCAACTATTTTCATTTCTCACATGGTCCTTCTAGACTCAGTTTGCTCCATACTTATATTAGAGAAAGCATCCCTCCCCATTAGGCTTTGTCTGCTCCACCCTTTTTTACATACATTAATACTAGAAGTGAGGGATGACATGTGTCATAAAGGCAGTAACAGGAGTGAAAAGATCCAAAGATTGTATTCAGATTAGCCCCTTAACTGAGAGGAGGATTTAACTATAAAGAGAGAGGTTAAATCATCCTAATGTGGTGCTAAGAAGCAGTGAACACTACAGTAGTATTCATATTAATTGGTACAGTGATGAAATGAGACATTCATTTGGAAAATTAATGTTTATTTGAAAAATATATGACAATGATTTGACAGGTAATTGATTTAATTAGAAATATGACTACCCTTTGCTTTTATAAGCATTGCTACATGCTTTGGCATAGCATTGCTAATTGCTGTTGTTATTAGAACCTGGTACCAGGTTCTAGTAACAGCAGCAGTTAGCTTCTGCACAGTTGAATAGTCCTGTTTCATGATCTTGCATTTGGTTAGTGCCCATAGATTCTCAACTGGATAGAGGTCAGGAGTTTCCAAACCAATTTAGAACACTATGCCCACTCTCTTCAAAGAATGCCAACATTTTTCTGGAGGTGTGACATGGAGCAAGATCCTGCTGGAATACCCCTTCTCCATTAGGAAAGTCTCTGTCCACAATAGAAAGGAAATGAGTTGGCAGGATTGCCTTGTATTTGGCACTATTTGTTGTTCCTTCAACAATACAAGCTGTCCAGGGCCTTTAGCAGTAAAACTACTACAAAACATCTTAGTTGGGTGTTTTGGCACTTGATGAATGTATCCATTCCAAAGAGGTTAGCCTTTGCTCCATCTCACTACCCCTGATCTGTATCCCATGTACTACAAAATGCACCTCATCTGAAAGTATAACTTTTTTCCATTCGTGTCGTCCATTCCTTATGATCGAGTGCCCACTGCAGCTGTTTTTTCTTCACTGAGGCAGTCAATAATTGTTTCTTTACCAGCTTTCTTGCAGTTCTGCCAACTTTAAAAAGCCTTCATTGAACAGTTGAAGAATCAGCATTTATGCCAACTGAAGCCAAATCTCTTTGTAAATCTTTGCTAGTTTTCTTGGGATCCTTCACACTATTTCTTGTGATAACCTTGTCATCATGAGGTATTATCTTGCACTTTCTTCCACATCTTCCTCAGTGTAGCGTTCCATAATCACCAGTGTCATCAGCTCTCATCAGAATTCGACCAATAGTTAACTCTCCTAGGCTCATATTTTGGCACTTTGTCTGATACTCATATCAGCATGTTTTCTAGGAGCTATAATACCTGCATGCTTCCTAGGTGTAACATCCATCATGAATTTCAGTAGTAATTATGAATTGAAGGCGAGAATTTGGTAAAACCACATTTACTAACAGAGCATGCTTTCAGGAATAGTCTTTATCTAAATCATTTGATACCCTCATCACCTTACTCTTTTCTATGTTCACTTTCAACTTTCTATCTTTACACACATTCTCAAACTCATCCACTAACCTTTGCAATTTTTCTTTAGAATCTCCCATAAGCACAGTATCATCAGCAAATTATGAGATAATCATATTATGAGATAATCACAAAATTTACTTCTGTCTCAATTAATTTGCACACTATTTGTGTTCAATATTTATTATTTCTTCTTGGTTTGGAAAAAGAATGAATTTATTTTCCTGATTTTTATACTCATCACAGAAAAAGGGAAAACCTTGAGGAAGCAGAATGGGCCAGTGTACAAGTGGGGAGTTACCACCACCCACACATAATAACCTTGATGAACATGGAGGTAAGCAGCAAAGGCAATATTGAGACATTCTCACAATAAAAAATTTTAATGGGAAAATTATTTCTTCCATGGTGAAGTAGAACAGAATTCTTCCTCCGTAAGCCATGCGTGCCGTAAGAGGCGACTAAAATGCTGGGAGCAAGGGGCTAGAAACCCCTTCTCCTGTATACATTATTAAATTTAAAAGGAGAAACTTTCGTTTTTCCTTTTGGGCCACCATGCCTCAGTGGGATATGGCCAGTTTGTTGAAAGATGTATGATAATTGTAGGAGTCATCATTGCACCAAAGAAAGATCTACATTAAATTCAGAATTAATATTTTCTTTCATTAGCTGAAAATGGAGAAAACTCGCCCAAACAAGGAAAAGAAACTCAAAGATCATCTAGTCTAAAGATATTCCGGCGTCGCTCTTCAAATTCCTCCTGGGTCAGTGGCAAATTTGGCAAAGCACATAAAGCAAAGGATCTTTCTGCTGCTTTTAATATGCTGGAATATGATTCCAAGGTATTTAATTTAAACTTATCTTTAAATCTAGTATCTTTATTTTTTTATAGAAATCTCTCAGAAATTTTGCAGAATATTGTATACTAGACTATATATACAGGTATTTTTGTATTTACTTTTGTATTACATAGCACTATGTTGCATGAAATAGGGCATATGCCAGTACAAAGATACGAAATAAAGCAAATAAAACATGGTAACCCCTTATATCTTTTCAGTTTTAGTTTTTATGGTTATACAAACATAGTGTTTTATGGGAGTTTTGTTACCATAGGTAAGATATTACATTTGCTTAAATATCTGCACCAGTTCATATGTCTTGTATTTCATAATTTAAGTCATTATGAATAGTTTGTAATCTGCTGGAGTACTTCCTTATTACTATATTCTCTGGACCTTGTAAATAAATTCATTGAATGTGTTCAGCAGTCTTCAGTCTTGTATTCTCTTTCTCAAACCATTTCTCTGATATATAATCTGCAGTCATTTTTGGTATCAGTGATTGTCACAGCAGCCTCTTTATAGCAGTTCATACACCTCATCTGTCCATCTTTTCTGTACACACCTATTTGTGATTACCAATTTGTAGCCATAGTAGTAAAGCTAAGCTCAGTGTGCCCCATCTTAGTATTTAATTCACTGTCAAAAAAAAATCTAATTTTCAAGTGATTGTGGCACTCATTACCTTCACTTGTAGCATATTCTGTTAAACTGTAAGTCTTTGTGAAGAAATGCTTTCAAGTGGACTTTGGACAGCTATTGTTTCCTAGTTTGTAGTTAAGACCTCTTTTTTTTCCAGCTGATGGAGTATGGAAATCTTCGTGTATAATAATTCTGTAGCCATTTATAATATTGAGTGTGGTTATCAGCCAAGGATCGCATATCAAAAGCTTTCCACCTTTGTTTGTAACTATTATTTTCTACTTACACTGAATTTCTTATGCAGATAAGACAATAACATATGTATTGTACTGTATATCAAGAGATATAATGGTTAGGATGTATAGTATTATCTGTAATACAGTCCTTTGTGATCTTGAATGAAATAAAGTCACAGTGTATGTTCTATTATGTTTTATAGATCTAGTTATTTGAATAAGAGACGCATGTTTGGCATCTTCCTATAACCTTCTCAGTTCACTTAGCAACATTCCTCTGACCCCAGTCTTGCTTACTGTCATAAATAATTTTTCTCCTCTTTGTTAACTTAACAATCCACTCTCTCAAACCTTCTGAATATACACATTTGTTAATTTATTTCACAGATGAATTTATTGAACATAAACACTGCCCCTGAGGAAGAATTGATGACATTACCGGGAGTGACTCGTGCAGTTGCAAGAAATATTGTCGAGTACCGCACAGCCATTGGGGGATTTCGACGTGTGGAGGACCTGGCACTTGTGTCTGGGGTTGGAGCTACTAAACTGCAGACATTCAAATGTGATATTACTGTTAAAAAAAAATCTTTGAGGTAAGTTTTTATGGTGCACATATGTCTTTTGTATTGTTTACAAGGATTCTTAGTGAAACTGACAGGGTTTACATTATCATTCTTCTCTAATTTTAGGAAATAGTATGGAGATTATAAGTATAGTAAACTATTTTGCAATACAGCCTCTCCTCACTTAACGATGGAGTTCCGTTCCTAAGACAATGTCAATAAACCAGTTTGTCGCTAAGTGAGGAGCATACTATAATGGTAGTGGGTTTGTGTCAACTATCTTTGATACTGTTTTAATGTCACCTTTGCACTATTTACAACATTTCTTGTATATTTTTAAATGTTTATACAGTAATGGACTGTATTTTGTAATAAACAAAATATAGGAAATCAGCTCTAATGTACATTATTTAGGCATGCTTATTGATCAGAGAGCCCGTCGTAAGTTCAAGGCATTGGTAAACGAGTATGTCGCTAAGTGAGGGGAGGCTGTATTTTGCTGTGCATTTTTTTGGAAAACTTAGTTTATCCTGTGCAGCTTTCCAGTTGTGTAGCTCTGCAGTTTACAGACACAATGCTTTTGAACTCAGGGTAATTCTGAAAATGAACATAGATAAGAGTAAGGTGATGAGGGTATCAAATGATTTAGATAAAGAAAAATTTGATATCGCATTGGAGAGAGGGAGTATGAAAGAAGTGAATGTTTTTAGATATTTGGGAGTTGACGTGTCAGCGAATGGGTTTATGAAGGATGAGGTTAACCACAGAATTGATGAAGGAAAAAAATGTGAGTAGTGCGTTCAGGTATATGTGGAGACAAAAAACGTTATCAGTGGAGGCAAAGAAGGAAATGTATGAAAGTAGTGCTACCAACACTCCTATATGAGTGTGAAGCTTGGGTTGTAAATGCTGCAGCAAGGAAGCAGTGGAGATGTCCTAAGGGCAGTGTGTGGTGTAAATATTATGCAGAAAATTTGGAGTGTGGAAATTAGGAGAAGGTGTGGAGTTAATTAAATTATTAGTCAGAGGGATGAAGAGGGGTTGTTGAGGTGGTTTGGTCATTTAGAGAGAATGGATCAAAGTAGAATGACATGGAGAGCATATAAATCCATAGGGGAAGGAAGGTGGGGTAGGGGTCGTCCTCGAAAAGGTTGGAGAGACGGGGTAAAGGAGGTTTTGTGGGTGAGGGGCTTGGACTTCCAGCAAGCGTGTTAGATAGGAGTGAATGGAGACGAATGGTTTTTGGGACCTGATGAGCTGGTGGAGAGTGAGCAGGGTAATATTTAGTGGAGGGATTCAGGGAAACCAGTTATTTTTATATAGCCGGACTTGAGTACTGGAAATGGGAAGTACAATGCCTGCACTTTAAAGGAGGGGTTTGGGATATTGGCAGTTTGGAGGGATATGTTATATATCTTTATATATGCTTCTAAACTGTTGTATCTGGATGCCCCTTCAAAAACAGTGATTATGTGTGAGTGAGGTGAAAGTGTTGAATGATGATGAAGGTATTTTCTTTTTGGGGATTTTCTTTCTTTCTGGGTCACCCTGCCTCGATGGGAGATGGCCGATTTGTTGAAAAAAAAAAATTAAAAAACATTTACTATGGATAATGTACATTTGTTACCCTTAAAATTTGTATAGTACAGATTAAAAATAATGTTTTTATTTCAGTCATTCTTCTTCACGTACACAAAGCATCGACTCTCTTCCAAGTTGTGAGTCAGGGAAGTCCCAGCACTCTCACTCCCAATCTCAGAGTGGAAGAAGCATTCGTGATTCACCCATAAGAGTCATGAATGTGAATGCTGCTTCTATCTTTGAGCTAATGAATGTTCATGGTATGAATCAAGAAATGGCAGCTAATATTGTTGAGTACAGGTAAATTGAAGTATATCACCTTATGTTTGTTAAAGGGACACAAGTGCAACATTAGTTGCACTTGTGTCATATTACATAACATACTGTTGGAAATTCTACCAACATTAATAAAATATGTCACTTTAGCAATGATAATCCTCTTTTCTAGATTAATAAATATCATAATTAATGAGGTTGCAGCTGTGCAGTGATGTCCAGACTGTATTTAGGACAATTTTAACAGCAACTTGGGTAAGTTCTATCCTACCACCCTGCATGGTCTCCATGCAGTTAACATAATTTTATTTATATATCTGATGTTAAAATTGTATATGTAGCTACAGTTTTTAATAAAAATAAGCTACACATAGAAACTCTTAACAAAAATGGAGAAAGCTCAAAAATAGTCTTAAGAAATATTGTAAATAGTTGAAAAGAGGTGTAGCCTTATAAGATAAGAGGAGTGAGGATATTGCAGTTCGGGTGTCATTTGAATTGCAGTGTTTGTGCATTTCTGTCCAGACAGCTATTGAATGAGTGATGGTGAATGTGTTTAATTTTTTTGTTCACATAACCTCTGTGAAAGTCAGTGAGTGTCTTAAAAAATTAAACTAACTTGAGTGCATTTTCATTTCTCAGGGAAAGAAAAGGTCCTTTTAAGAGTATCGAGGAACTAGTAAAAGTGAGAGGAATCTCAGCTCGTGCTCTGAGTGTTCTGAAAATATATTTGACAGTGAATGCTGTTCCACCTGCTTCCCCACCCATAAGTGACATTATCTCAGTTGCAAGCTATAGTAAGGTATACCCACGCACCATTAGTGGTAGGATGCCAGGTAAGACGTTATTTCAGTTTGAATTTTATTAATTTTTTAACATGTAATCTGAACCTCTTGAGCAAAGACTGATCATCTAAACTCACTTTTTGTGTAAATGAAATTTCTAACCTTTTCTATTTTGAAATTCCTCTCAGCAATATTTTCTCAGGAAAGTAGATGTACATTTATTGTTTATGCTAATATATCAGGGAAGCATGATACATGTATAAAACCTGTGAAAAGACCCACTTCTTGTACATCAAATACCAACAAATTCTACCAGTATTTTATAGTTATGGACCTTTTAGTAATCATATTTGCTACCTGAGTTTAATACTGAAACTATGGCAATTAGTTTTTAAAGTGATCTTTGTTTTCCAGTATAAAAGATATTGGGCTTTATTTTTTCCTCCTTGTGTCAGCTTTCTCAATCCTTGAGCATGGGGCTCTTAGATGTATGGCAATAACTGATGACAAAGATGTCATGAGAAACTCCATACAAAGACAAACCTGCATTGCTCAGGACAAGCTTAATGTAAGAAACAGCATAGTATAAGAACACTGCACCGTACCTCATTCCAGTAGATGAGACTAAGGAGACAGAGTTGGAGTTCGCAGAGGAGGTGGCAAGGTGATCTGTATGGATAATGAAGTCCATTGAAAGGGTTGAGCCTGGTTGTTGCATGTCTAGGTTCTTCACCACTGTCTAGTATAGGTGTCCCTTTCTTCATGCATTGATTCGTTCCAGGCACAAGCTGGCTGTACTAAACTTAGATCATCAACCCTTAATCTTTAATATGTTTTGTTAACCATGTTGGTCATGTATCCCAAATAATCACACATACAGAATTACAAACAGAACTGGGGCCTTGCATAATAGTGAATTCTCATAAAAGTGAACCCACATAAAGTGAGGTAAGTGTTTAGTGGTTTTCATTCGAGGTGAAGCAGTGAACAGAAACCCAAGGGGTATTTTAACATCAATTTACCTCTTAGGAAGCTGGAAAGAGCTAAAACTATTTAAAATGTCATAACCAGGCATAACCGTTACCTTACTTCAATTGACCTAACGTCCATATGGGCCTCTTCTTTCCTCCTCCTCTGCAATGGTTTACTGTACAGTATTGATATTTGCATTTTTGCGCTTCTTTCACATTGTAGGTATGACGTTGCTCTTCACATCTTGTTTACCTGAAGTATATGATTTTAGTCAAGTGGTATTCATTAAACTAGTTAAGATTGTTCTTCATTAATCTTGTTTACGGCTAAAATCAGTTTTAGAAGCAAGTCTGTTAAACTTCTATTTGCTGTTTACTTTTTTTTTGGGTACAGTTACTGGCAAGAGGTTGCTCATTTATTAGTTACAATATTTTTAAAGAAGTTTAAGATTTAAAATGTAGTAATTTGAGACTTCTGTCTTATGTAACTATGTTATTTAAAAACCTTGCTTTTCAATAATTGTTTCCAAAATTTAGGTCATCGACGAACACATTCTGCTCCTTTGAACAATGATGGAGGTTCTCCTGGAAGACCAGCTCGTGACATAAAAGATGGAGCAGATCCTAGAATATCAGTTGATTTTAGTGAAGATATATTTGAACTCTTGTCTTTAAGGTTAGTTGTTAGAAATGCTTTTGCACTATTATTACTATACTATTATTCTGACACAAATACCCTGGCACTGTATTGAAATAATTAAGTATTTCATTGCATATTTCTGGAGTTAGAAAATACATGTGATAAGTTGACTAAGGAAGCAGTGTAGATGTTGTAAATATATGGAATTGGTGGCAGGTAAAGAGTTTTTATGTGGATAGTGATGCAAAGGTTAGAGTATGTAGGAGAGAGAGAGGGGGATTATTCTCCTGTAAAAGTTGGCTCTAGACAGGGTTGTGTGATGTCACCATGGTTGCTTAACATTTAAGTGAACGTGGGGTATTGGGATTAAAAGATAACTAATCTGATAAAAAGTGGGAGTTTTCGCAGTTGCTTGTTGCCAATAACTCGGTTCTTTTGAGAGAATCCAGAGAGGTTGCAAAGGTTAGTGGACGAATTTGAGAGGGTATACAAAAGGAAATTAAGTTAACATAGGAGAGAGTGCGGTAATAAGAGTAACAAAAAAATCTAGGCAATGAGAGATTGGATATCAAGATTGGGGGGGATTTATTTTTTTTAACACTGGCCGTTTCCCACTGAAGTAGGGTGACCCGAAAAAAATAAGAAACACACTCACCATCACTCTGTCTTTCCAGAGGTGTACCGACATTACAGCCCAGGTGTCCCTTCAAACTGCAATATTCCCACCCCTTTTTTTCAGAATGCAGGCACTGCTTTCCACCTCCAGGATTTAAGTCTGGCTAACCAGTTTCCCTGAATCCCTTCATACATGTTACTGTGCTTAAACTCCAACAGCATGTCCAGTTATAAAAACCACTTGCCTCCACTTGCTCCTACCTAACACACTCCCACATGCCTGATGAATGTCCAAGATCCTTGCAAACAAAATCTTCTTTACTACTACTACCCCTTCCTTCTAACCTTTACTAGTACATCCCCTACCCCTCTTTCCCTCCCTAAATTACAGATTTATACGCCCTTCAAGCCTTCCTATTTGCTCCAACGTCTCTAAATGTCCAATCCACGTCATCAGTTCCTCCTCAGCCCTCTGGATAATAGTTTTGGTAACCCTGCACCTCTTAATTTCCAAACTACGAATTCTCTGCATAATATTCACATTACACATTACCCTAAGACACAGCATCTTCACTACCTTCTTCCTCTTCCCCATTGCAGCATTTAAAATTCATGCTTCACACCCATATAAAAATGTTGGTACTACTATACTTTGGTACATTTTCCTTTTTGCTTCCATGAATAAGGTCCTTTATCTCCACAGATGCCTCAGTGCACCATCCACCTAATTTCCTTGTCAGTTCTTTGGTTTACCTGTCCTCCAACAAGTCTGCTCCCAGATATATGAAGACATTCATTTCCTCCATATTCCTTCCTTCTAATCTGATATCCAGTCCTACATTACCTAATTTTTTTTTTGCTTTATTCATCACCTTTCTTTTTCCTGTGTTTACTTTTAATTTCCTTCTTTCACATACCAAACTTTTTAGGTCACTTTGCTTCAGTGGGATATACATAGCTGATCTTCTTCTTTCAACATACCAGCCGTATCCCACTGAGGTGGGGTGGCCCAAAAGAAAAAACTGAAGTTTCTCCTTTTAAATTTAGTAATATATACAGGAGAAGGGGTTACTAGCCCCTTGCTTCCGGCATTTTAGTCGCCTCTTACGACACGCATGGCTTACAGAGGAAGAATTCTGTTCCACTTCCCCATGGAGATAAGAGGAAATAAACAAGAACAAGAATTAGAAAGAAAATAGAAGAAAACCCAGAGGGGTGTGTATATATATGCTTGTACATGTATGTGTAGTGTGACCTAAGTGTAAGTAGAAGTAGCAAGACTTACCTGTAATCTTGCATATTTATGAGACAGACAAAAGACACCAGCAATCCTACCATCATGTAAAACGATTACAGGCTTTCGTTTTACACTCACTTGGCAGGACGGTAGTACCTCCCTGGGCGGTTGCTGTCTACCAACCTACTACCCAGATACATAGCTGATGTGTTAAAATAAAAAAAAGTAGCTGATCTATAGAATGTTCTTTGGTAAATGAAAGTAGCTTAATATTTTGTCAAAATAGTCTGAAAAGATGAGTTTGGAAATCATTATGTACCTAAGATGGCTGTGTAATGTGTAGTAAATGGTAATTTTTTTTATATATTTTTATTAAAATACAGTATATCAACCATTTTTAAGTGCTAATTAAAAAGAAAGGTAGTTTTGTTTGGTGTAACTCAATATTATAGAACTGCTGTGTTCACAACTAACCCAAGTTGAAGGCTAGTTTTGGTTGTTTCAACCATTTTTGTTGTACTGTTTTGTGTTTGACTTGGTGGGTTATACTGACTCGGGAATTCTGGTAATTACATTCTTGAGGCATCAACAATGTTAGGAAGTCTGCAGAATTTACTCTAGAGTATTATTGCAGAAGGGTTATATGTTCAAGTGAAGTAATCACCAATAAGAAATTACCTTACTGGTAATGACAATAAAAATTTTATGATTGCTGGTGATGAGCTTAAGAATGTTTGCATCAAAAGGATGATTCCTCTACAGGATCATCTGTGTGTGATGGTGACTTAGGAATCCTAGAATAGCAAATCTTTCTCAAGGAAGCAAACATGACAGGGAATGGGTAAACAATGTGTCAGCCTTAGTTATCCATTGAGAAGAGAGTAGTGGTTTCTTACACAGTATTGCATCTGGGTAATTAGCAATGGAACCAGTCACTGGAGCCCCTGGAGACCGAAGAGGCAAATATCGAGTGGAATACTTGATAATTCTTACTGGTTTCTAGAAAGGTGAGGGTAAGTGTGTGTGTGTACTGGTTGTGCTCCTGGTGAGCCAGCAGAGCCCCATTACAGACACACCATTTACCGTGGTCCCTGTAATATTTTGAAGTCTGGAAGTCTTGCTGAGCAAAGTTAAATCACAATATTTATAATCAAATTCTAATTTCTTTTCTAGATCTGAGCGACCAGTTGTTAAAGAGGTGTTCAACGGATACTTTCAGGGAGACCCTGCTTTCAGAGTTGCTACTTGGAATCTGCAACAGCTTACTAGAGATAAGGTAAAAATGTGGTTTACAGGATGGGGCTGAAGCCTCATGTACAGGTGAGCCCCCTTATATAGTAGGTTAGGTTCCGGGCTACTGCTGTAAAGCAAAACCATTACCTTCTATCAGTTTCAAATGCATGTAAAAGCCTGATACCATATTTACACTATCATATATTAAGTGAGCAATACAGCTAGGCCTAAAAAATGTATATACAGTACACACATTACTTCTTCTTTCAACACACCGGCCGTTCCTCACCGAGGCGGGGTGGCCTAAAAGGAAAAAAATGGGAGTTTCTCCTTTTAAATTTGGAAATGTATACAGGAGAAGGGGTTACGAGCCCCTTGCTCCTGGCATTTTAGTTGCCCCTTACTACATGCATGGCTTATGGAAGAAGAATTCTGTTCCACTTTCCCATGGAGATAAGAGGAAATAAACAATAACAAGAACTAGTAAGAAAATAAAAGAAAACCCTGAGGGGTGTGTATATATATGTTTGTACATGCATGTGTAGTGTGACCTAAGTGTAAGCAGAAGTAGCAAGATATACCTGAAAACTTACATGTGCATGAGACAAAAAAGACACCAGCAATCCTACTATCATGTAAAACAATTACAGGCTTCTGTTTTGCACTCACTTGGCAGGATGATAGTACCTCCCTGGGCAGTTGCTGTCTACCAACCTACTATCTAGGACACATTACTTACCTTAAAATATTTTCATTCTTAGCTTATTGTGAGTGTTGAATATATTTAATGTAGGAAGTCTGAATAAATGAAGAATGGTTATAATTGAAAACCGCTGGTTGTGCTCCTGGTGGGCCATCAGGGCCCCTTTACAGACACACTATTTATCGTGGTTCCTGTAATATTTTGAAATCTGGGCACTATCACCATTCAGTGAGCAAAATAAATTTATAGCTGTCCAAAGAATGCAGAGCTAGAGATTTATGGAAGTTCACATTTGAAGCAAAACTTTGAGTAAGCAGGATCAGCTGGTTGCAAGTTTATTCAATTTGTAAATTCTTTAAAAAATTATTGTCTACCAACCTACTACCTAGGACACATGACTTACCTTAAAATATTTTCATTCTTAGCTTATAGTGAGTGTTGAATATATTTAATGTAAGAAGTCTGAATAAATGAAGAATGGGTATTATTGAAAACCGCTATATTAACAAAATGCTGTAAAGTGGAGCCTGCCTATATTTATTACTGTGTGGGGGTATCACGTTACCATCGTTGTTCTCTTCAGACTAATTAGAGAATTTCCTGTAAGTTGCATTCCAGTCTGCCTTGGATTTCATTAATGGGTTGAGATATATTCAAGTCCTTCAATGAGAAACTGGGGTATCTGAGCTCAGTAGAGAGAGATGGACTAGGATAGTTGCAAATGGGCTGTTTTATTTCTTTTTGTATTTTATGGAATTTTAAATATACTGTATTGTGATACTGTTTATGATATATAAAATTGGTATACAGTGAATTTGTCAGCTGTTATTGTTGATTTGTTCAAGTGTTTAATATAGTGCTCATCTGTATATGTATAGAATTTTTTTTTTCCAGATCTGTAATCCTGGCGTACTGGAGGTTGTATGCCGGACTGTATTAGAGAATGGATTTAGTCTTTTAGCTATTCAAGAAGTTAGGAGTAAAGATGTTCTTGAAAAGGTAAGTTCACTTTTTTTTTTTTTCAACAAACCGGCCGTATCCCACCAAGGCAGGGTGGCCCCAAAACAAAAACAAAAGCTTCTCTTTTTAAATTTAGTACGTAATTTATACAAGAGAAGGGGTTACTGGCCCCTTGCCCCCGGCATTTTAGTCGCCTCTTACAACATGCATGGCTTACGGAGGAAGAATTCTGTTCCACTTCCTCATGGAGATAAGAGGAAATAAACCAGAGCAAAAACTAGAAAGAAAATAGCAGAAAACTCAGAGGGGTGTGTGTATATATATGCTTGTACATGTATGTGTAGTGTAACCTAAGTGTAAGTAGAAGTAGCAAGACGTACCTGAAATTTTGCATGTTTATGAGACAGAAAAAATGTCGTGTCGAATATATAAAACTTGCGATCTTGGCTTAAATAGCAACGCTCATCTTGCCTTATAAGACAAGTGAAAATTTGTGTATGCAGTAGTTTCACATACACAGATACCTTAATGCACCGTTCACCTTTTTTCCTTCATCAATTCTATGATTAACCTCATCCTTCATAAATCCATCCACTGACACATCAACTCCCAAATATCTGAAAACATTCAGTTCTTCCATACTCCTCCTCTCCAATTTGATATCCAATTTTTCTTTATCTAAATCATTTGATACCCTCATCACCTTATTTTTTTTTTTTTTTAACAAATTAATTGCAGGCAAAGAGGGGAATGTATGAGAGTATAGTTTTACCAACGCTCTTATATGGGTGTGAAGCATGGGTGATGAATGTTGCAGCGAGGAGAAGGCTGGAGGCAGTGGAGATGCCATGTCTGAGGGCAATGTGTGGTGTGAATATAATGCAGAGAATTCGTAGTTTGGTAGTTAGGAGGAGGTGCGGGATTACCAAAACTGTTGTCCAGAGGGCTGAGGAAGGGTTGTTGAGGTGGTTCGAACATGTAGAGAGAATGGAGCGAAACAGAATGACTTCAAGAGAGTATCAGTCTGTAGTGGAAGGAAGGCGGGGTAGGGGTCGGCCTAGGAAAGGTTGGAGGGAGGGGGTAAAGGAGGTTTTGTGTGCGAGGGGCTTGGGCTTCCAGCAGGCATGCGTGAGCGTGTTTGATAGGAGTGAATGGAGACAAATGGTTTTTAATACTTGACGTGCTGTTGGAGTGTGAGCAAAGTAACATTTATGAAGGGATTCAGGGAAACCGGCAGGCCGGACTTGAGTCCTGGAGATGGGAAGTACAGTGCCTGCACTCTGAAGGAGGGGTGTTAATGTTGCAGTTTAAAAACTGTAGTGTAAAGCACCCTTCTGGCAAGACAGTGATGGAGTGAATGATGGTGAAAGTTTTTCTTTTTTCGGGCCACCCTGCCTTGGTGGGAATCGGCCAGTGTGTTAATAATAAAAAAAAATTAATATCTTATGTGTTTATGACAATTTAATGCATGTGTGGTAGGCTAATTTTTTTGTGGTAAATATTATGCAAGAAATATGCAATTGGCAATCTTGGAATGAAACCTTATTTTATGTTACTGGGTCTATGAATTGACAAGTGAAAAAAAGTGGGTGGTGCATTGAGGCGTCTGTGGAGACAATCTTATCCATGGATGCAAAAAGGGTAATGTACCAGAGTATAGTGGTACCAACACTGTTATATAGGTATGTAAAGCATGGGTTTTAACTGTTACAATGAGGAGGAGGCTAGAGGAAAAGATGTAGTTTGAGGGCAATGTGTGGTGTTAATATTATGCAGAGCGTTCATAACTTAAATATTAGAAGGTGTGAGGTTACCAAAGGTATTATTCAGAGGGCAGAAGAGGGGTTGTTGAGGAGGTTTGGACATTTAAAGAGAATGAAACAAAATTGGATGACTAGGAGGATATATAAATCTGAGGTGGAGAGAAAGGTTGGAAGGAGGCAGGATAAAGGAGGTTTTGCATGTTAGATAGCATTGAGTGGAGGCAAGTGATTTTTATGATTTGGCGTGCTGTTGAAGGGTGGGGGTGTTGCATTTCAATGGGTCACCTGAACTGTTACATTAGCATGCTTCTGGTATAGTGATTGAATGAATGATAGTGAAAGTGTTTCTTCTTTTTGTGCTTAACCTTGGTGGGAGACTGCTGGTGTGTTAAGAAAAATGGGTTTGCTTTAAATGCCATATACTTCCAAGAATGCATCTGCTGCATAAAGCAAGGAACACTTGTACCAAACATGCAGTATAATCTCAAAATGTTTTACCTGCTTATCTCATATCCCCACTCTTTAACAAACCCCTCTGCATTGCTTTTGTTGTATATTTCTTATACATTTGATTCTCAATTTTCTTCTTCTTATTCTTTTTAGTAATCTTTACAGGAAAAGGGGTTACTAGCCCATTGTTCCCGGCATTTTAGTTGACTTTTACAACATGCATGGCTTACGGAGGAAAGATTCTTATTCCACTTCCCCATGTGGTGAAAGTGTTGAATGATGATGAATATTTTCTTTTTGGGGATTTTCTTTCTTTTTTGGGTCACCCTGCCTCGGTGGGAGACGGCCGACTTGTTGAAAAAAAAAAAAAATTGATTCTCATTGTACTGCAGACAAGTCTTGCAGGAGACATGGCCATCACAGTCCACTGTTGACTTACTTTACCACTACTGTCCATTTTCACTTTCACAGTTGGCTGGCATGTTTTTCTATCATCTTTCCTAGCTGATGAATGATAAAATTCATTAAAAATTCTCTATTGATAAAACTGAAATCATTTTCTTTCCTATCACTAGATATGCTCAGAGCTAAACCATGGCAGTTTAAGGCGTGTACGTGAATGGTCAGGACCCAAGGGAGAGTGGAGATGGCAAGTGTCAGAGGAACCTGCTGGATTTGTATTTCAAGTAAGCTTGAAGTTTGAAATATGTATATGCAGTTATAAATTAGTCATGTAATTCTGATCACATAAAACATTTCTGGTCTTGGGAGTATGTAAGTTGATAAAATTCTCATTAAATCTTTATGGTCATGGAATTGTGCTGAACAAGTTTAATACAAGTGGTATTAGCTTTTTATTTTTAAAAGTGCTGAAACACTGCTGTTAAAAGTTTCCTCATGTGTTTCTGGTTTCTCTGATACTGTAGTTACGTTCAGAGCTCTCATATGTATTGAGCTATGGTTATATGCACTTGAAATTAGACATAAAATTTTACTATTGAGGAATAAAGTTCACTGAGCTAGACTTAACACTTATGACTACCAAATGAGACTTAATTTCACTAAGATTACTATATCCAGTAGGAAGGAAATACATAAAAATATAATAGTTTTGACAGACCTAAAACAGTTACACCAAAGGAGACATTACATTTATGGAGTAATCTTCCACTACCACCATGAATATCAAAATAAAGTTAACTGTGAACATGAGCTAGGATGCACAGTTCTCAGTCTTTGCTGCAGTGAAGGCTGATATAGTGGTTCTATAAATAACTAAGTTAATCATACCTTACCATGTTCAGGTCTTTAAACTATTCAAATAGTTGACATTTGAACAACAGGTGAATGACTGTAGTTTGCCCCTTGCTTCACCAAACAGTTTTAGCAGTTAAAGTATTCATGTAGTATTGTTGATGCTTGTGAAAATGTGCATGAAGAATGTTCTAGGTAAATTTTTACCTTTCACAAAATGAAAGGCAACTCATAAATTTCCTTGTATTTGCATTGATTAGAAAACAAACAAAAAGACTTTTGTTTATGCATACTTACTATTACTTTTTCAGGGTGCTGAATTTGCAGCATTTATATACAATGTGTGTCATGGGATCCAGCTGGTATCAGCAACTTTGCTTAGTGTCCACGACAATAACAATGGAAAATCTGCCAAAACTTTCACCAGAAAACCATATCTAGGTTATTTTAAGGTTAGTAATTTTAAGTTATGTGGCTTTTTACAGTAGTTTATACATGTATTCATTTATTTTTTTTTTTTTTGACATATTTGTAGTTACAGGACATTCGACTAACATGTGCGAGTGTGTTAGGAGTGAGTGGAGGCAAATTTTATTTATGGCTTGATATGCTGTTGGAGTATCTGAGAGAGTTAGAGCAAAGGAAGGGGTAGCAGTAATGTTAAATGATCAGTTATGGAAGGAGAAAAGAGAATATGAATGTGTAAATTCAAGAATTATGTGGATTAAAGTAAAGGTTGGATGCGAGAAGTGGGTCATAATAAGCGTGTATGCACCTGGAGAAGAGAGGAATGCAGAGGAGAGAGAGAGATTTTGGGAGATGTTAAGTGAATGTATAGGAGCCTTTGAACCAAGTGAGAGAGTAATTGTGGTAGGGGACTTGAATGCTAAAGTAGGAGAAACTTTTAGAGAGGGTGTGGTAGGTAAGTTTGGGGTGCCAGGTGTAAATGATAATGGGAGCCCTTTGATTGAACTTTGTATAGAAAGGGGTTTAGTTATAGGTAATACATATTTTAAGAAAAAGAGGATAAATAAGTATACACGATATGATGTAGGGCGAAATGACAGTAGTTTGTTGGATTATGTATTGGTAGATAAAAGACTGTTGAGTAGACTTCAGGATGTACATGTTTATAGAGGGGCTACAGATATATCAGATCACTTTCTAGTTGTAGCTACACTGAGAGTAAAAGGTAGATGGGATACAAGGAGAATAGAAGCATCAGGGAAGAGAGAGAGTGAAGGTTTATAAACTAAAAGAGGAGGCAGTTAGGGTAAGATATAAACAGCTATTGGAGGATAGATGGGCTAATGAGAGCATAGGCAATGGGGTCGAAGAGGTATGGGGTAGGTTTAAAAATGTAGTGTTAGAGTGTTCAGCAGAAGTTTGTGGTTACAGGAAAGTGGGTGCAGGAGGGAAGAGGAGCGATTGGTGGAATGATGATGTAAAGAGAGTAGTAAGGGAGAAAAAGTTAGCATATGAGAAGTTTTTACAAAGTAGAAGTGATGCAAGGAGGGAAGAGTATATGGAGAAAAAGAGAGAAGTTAAGAGAGTGGTGAAGCAATGTAAAAAGAGAGCAAATGAGAGAGTGGGTGAGATGTTATCAACAAATTTTGTTGAAAATAAGAAAAAGTTTTGGAGTGAGATTAACAAGTTAAGAAAGCCTAGAGAACAAATGGATTTGTCAGTTAAAAATAGGAGAGGAGAGTTATTAAATGGAGAGTTAGAGGTATTGGGAAGATGGAAGGAATATTTTGAGGAATTGTTAAATGTTGATGAAGATAGGGAAGCTGTGATTTCGTGTATAGGGCAAGGAGGAATAACATCTTGTAGGAGTGAGGAAGAGCCAGTTGTGAGTGTGGGGGAAGTTCGTGAGGCAGTAGGTAAAATGAAAGGGGGTAAGGCAGCCGGGATTGATGGGATAAAGATAGAAATGTTAAAAGCAGGTGGGGATATAGTTTTGGAGTGGTTGGTGCAATTATTTAATAAATGTATGGAAGAGGGTAAGGTACCTAGGGATTGGCAGAGAGCATGCATAGTTCCTTTGTATAAAGGCAAAGGGGATAAAAGAGAGTGCAAAAATTATAGGGGGATAAGTCTGTTGAGTGTACCTGGTAAAGTGTATGGTAGAGTTATAATTGAAAGAATTAAGAGTAAGACGGAGAATAGGATAGCAGATGAACAAGGAGGCTTTAGGAAAGGTAGGGGGTGTGTGGACCAGGTGTTTACAGTGAAACATATAAGTGAACAGTATTTAGATAAGGCTAAAGAGGTCTTTGTGGCATTTATGGATTTGGAAAAGGCGTATGACAGGGTGGATAGGGGGGCAATGTGGCAGATGTTGCAAGTGTATGGTGTAGGAGGTAGGTTACTGAAAGCAGTGAAGAGTTTTTACGAGGATAGTGAGGCTCAAGTTAGAGTATGTAGGAAAGAGGGAAATTTTTTCCCAGTAAAAGTAGGCCTTAGACAAGGATGTGTGATGTCACCGTGGTTGTTTAATATATTTATAGATGGGGTTGTAAGAGAAGTAAATGCGAGGGTCTTGGCAAGAGGCGTGGAGTTAAAAGATAAAGAATCACACACAAAGTGGGAGTTGTCACAGCTGCTCTTTGCTGATGACACTGTGCTCTTGGGAGATTCTGAAGAGAAGTTGCAGAGATTGGTGGATGAATTTGGTAGGGTGTGCAAAAGAAGAAAATTAAAGGTGAATACAGGAAAGAGTAAGGTTATGAGGATAACAAAAAGATTAGGTGATGAAAGATTGAATATCAGATTGGAGGGAGAGAGTATGGAGGAGGTGAACGTATTCAGATATTTGGGAGTGGACGTGTCAGCGGATGGGTCTATGAAAGATGAGGTGAATCATAGAATTGATGAGGGAAAAAGAGTGAGTGGTGCACTTAGGAGTCTGTGGAGACAAAGAACTTTGTCCTTGGAGGCAAAGAGGGGAATGTATGAGAGTATAGTTTTACCAACGCTCTTATATGGGTGTGAAGCGTGGGTGATGAATGTTGCAGCGAGGAGAAGGCTGGAGGCAGTGGAGATGTCATGTCTGAGGGCAATGTGTGGTGTGAATATAATGCAGAGAATTCGTAGTTTGGAAGTTAGGAGGAGGTGCGGGATTACCAAAACTGTTGTCCAGAGGGCTGAGGAAGGGTTGTTGAGGTGGTTCGGACATGTAGAGAGAATGGAGCGAAACAGAATGACTTCAAGAGTGTATCAGTCTGTAGTGGAAGGAAGGCGGGGTAGGGGTCGGCCTAGGAAGGGTTGGAGGGAGGGGGTAAAGGAGGTTTTGTGTGCGAGGGGCTTGGACTTCCAGCAGGCATGCGTGAGCGTGTTTGATAGGAGTGAATGGAGACAAATGGTTTTTAATACTTGACGTGCTGTTGGAGTGTGAGCAAAGTAACATTTATGAAGGGATTCAGGGAAACCGGCAGGCCGGACTTGAGTCCTGGAGATGGGAAGTACAGTGCCTGCACTCTGAAGGAGGGGTGTTAATGTTGCAGTTTAAAAACTGTAGTGTAAAGCACCCTTCTGGCAAGACAGTGATGGAGTGAATGATGGTGAAAGTTTTTCTTTTTCGGGCCACCCTGCCTTGGTGGGAATCGGCCGGTGTGATAATAAAAAAAAAAAAAAAATGCTGTTGGAATGTCAGCAAGGGAAGATTTATGAAGGGATTCAGGGGAAACAATTAGCCAGACTTGACTCCTGAAAGTTGAAAGCACAGTGCCTGTAGTCTGAAGGAGGGGTAGAGATATTACACTTTGGAGGAGCATCTAAGCTATAATGTCAGCATGCCTCTGGCAAGATGGTGGTGGAGTGAGTGATAGTGAAAGTATTTCTTCTTTTTCTGGTCACCCTACCTCAGAGGGAGATGGCAATTGTTGTAAAAAATAATAGGTGACTACATTCATATCCTGTAATATGTTTGTTTACTGTTATACAAATTAAGTAGAGCAAAAAGGCACTATGCATTAATAACAAAAAGGCACATTACCCCTTCTGGAACAATACACAAATAACCCGCACATAGGAGAGAGAAGCTTATGATTTTATCATTATTTGCGGGATATTTTTGTATTGTGTGTTATAAATTATTTGCAATATAGTTCTCTACATGTCCTCAATTTATTTTCAGTGCTATGACTTCGACTTTGTTCTAGTCAGTCTTCACATTAAAACCATTCAAATTAATAAAAGAAAAATAGAAAAGGGAAATAATGTGAATAAAAATGGAAGCAAGAGTGATACAGGAACAAGCAGCAGTGGAGAATCGCAGAAAAATGCTGAGTTATCCCAGCTTGCACCTCTAATTACTGCAATGAAAGAGAAATTAATGAATGAGAAGAATGTAATACTTTTAGGTGACTTCAACTTACATCCAGATGATGCTGGTGAGTTTTACTTTGTATCTGTAGCCAGAGTTTTGTATGCTTTTTTTTTTATATAATAGTTTTGCATCATATTCCTGGTGGTAGGAAATACAGGATCTGCACTCTGAAGGATGGGTGGGGAGATTGAAGTTAGTGTTAGAGACAACTAATAGAGAAAGTTTTTCTTAGTATCATCAACAGGGAGAACAACAGGACACATTTGTAAACTACAAAATAAATGCAGCAGAAAGAATACAAGAAATTAATTTTTCACATATAGTGAGAGGAGGTACTAGCATGTGTTACAACTAGAGTACTGAAAAAAAAAAATCAATATTTTCCTCCACCTGTTCGGGTCAAATTTTATATCAGGTATATGACCTTGGAAGTTTCTGAGTTAGTCACCAGAGGAGTTTTAGCAGCTACCTGCACAGTTCAGATTGCTTTGGTTTGATATTTGGAGTATCTTACATTTACCATTTGATTAATTTCAGCCTTGCTATTGAATTCTGGTATATCTGTGAAAATGTAATGAATCCTTACTTGGTGTTGGCTTACTATACTGTACTGTTAATGTATTGCATCCAAGTTAATTATGTGTATTATCTAATTTAGTCCAGGTCCCTCTGGAGTCTTGTAAAATGACTCTCTAATTTTGGGTTCTTTTTTTGCAAATGACTTTGTGTGAACATTGTTTATTATTACTCAAATAATTTTTCATATTCCATCATCTGATTTTTAAAACATTAAAGAATAAAAAGGCACAATAACATGACTGGAGCCAGACACACACAACCTGCATATAGGAGACAAACTTATGATGTTTCAGTCCGACTTGCACCAGTGACTAATCTCACTCTGTGTGACTAGTTAATGGTCTAAGTCAGATCAAAGCATCATCGCAAGTTTCAGTCTCCTTTGTTCAGGTTATTTGAGCATTTAAAAACATTTACTGTATTTTGCATTGAATCTATAAAATTATTTATAGACAATGCTTAAACATATTCTCATTTCAGCTTTTGATGTATTACGAGAAGCATTTTATAGCAACATTGTTCCATCAGAAGCCTTTACTGATATTGTTGATGACAGTGATGAAGAGGCACAGTCTTATGACAACATATGGCTCAACCCAAACACCAGAAAAGTTTATACAGGTTAGTTGGTGTATTATAATAAATACAGTAGGTTGTCAATAAGTCAAAGTGCAAATTGTTCAAGATGATTTATTGTAAATTTATTTTGCTATTAATGTGTATGGATAAGTGTGCACCAGAGTGAAAACTTGACATAGTCAACAATTAGGTGTGCTGAAGTCTGTGTGTATGATAAACTAATTACGAGTTTTATCATCAGTTAATTTGTAGATTTTGTCAATGATTTAATATGTACAATTGAACAAATGATGATGAATATGTTTTCTTCTTTGGATCACTCTGCTTTGGCGAAAGACAGCCCTTGAGTTAAAAAAATAATAGAAGGGGTGGGGACTTTCAAATACTGTGCATATTTGCCAAGACAGCTATTGAATGAATTACATCTGATGTGTTCCTGTTTTTTGGTGGAGAGGGGGGACAGGGTCACTGTACTTGGTGGGAGATGGCAGGTTTCGTAAAATAGCAGTACCTTTTATAATGAATAAAAATGCTAAGTTTTACCTAAATATGGCCTTGGGAAGGTAAAGTAGGCATCTTGAGGCCCCACCTCATTAAAATTCTACAATAAAAAGGGAAAAAATATTTAGCCAATGAATCAAACAGGATGAGGCAGTGAATTTTTTCATGGAGGTAATTTGAGAATTTGAACATTTTTAATCAACACAGGTTCTCTTGTAAGATTGTGTACTAACAGAAAGATTATCAGATTTTAATAAGTTTCAAGAATCATGCTCAAGTCAAAATAATTCTTTCAGATTAGGCATGTACAAATACAGTGGTACCTCGAGTTTTGAACAACTCCCAACTCTAACAATTATGTGAGAGTATTTTTGTAAGTGCTTTTGTAAGTGTATTTTTGGGGGGGTCTGAAATGGACTAATCTAATTTACATTATTCCTTATGGGAACAAATTCGTTTGGTATCGGCACTCAAACAGCCTTCTGGAATTAATTAAGTTCGTAACTCGAGGTACTACTGCATTATATTAGTCATATAAAATATTGTATCGAGATTGAAGACTTATATCGTCTAGGTCAGAGTATTCTATTTTGTTCTTCAATTCAATGTCAATAGATGTGATGCTCTAACTCTCTTATTTTACCTGATTAAGGAGCTTGTGAAAAACTGTGACGACAGCTGTGCTGATACACAAATTCATATATGGTAGACATGTCCTGATCTTTAATGACATTAATATATAAAGTTTTTAGACTCTTACAACTGTAGCAAAAACTGCAAGACTGTCTCATAGAGGACTGCATCAGAAAGTAATATATTTGAGCTTCACTGAGGCCCTCCATAGAAGACTCCAGTGTGCTGAAGAGAGCCTGAATCTAAGGCAGAAATATACAGAATATATTCTTCTTGCCTATTGTTCTGTTTCTCTCATATAGGTTTGATGGATCTGTGTGTATGTTTTCAAGATCATTTTGATATATAATACCTTTGCTTTACAGGCAATTGGGGAGTAGTGCAACAAGGCATGAATCACCTGGCTATTCCCTGTGGCTGGGGCTGGGGTGGTGTGGTCAGTAGCCATTATCCAATTTACTGTGATCTCTGCACCCACTCTGACTTACATCAAGGACAAACAGACATACTGCAACCAAATGGAAATTTGGAAGAGGTATCAGTATGAGATGAGCATATTTTAGCTCAGCTGCTAGAGCCTGTAATTCATCCATCCATAAATCTTCCCTCTTGCTGCCTTTCTACTTTAAATTGCATTATAAATTTTAAATTTTCCATGAGATACTGGACCTTAATATTGTATTGTTAAAGGATATTAATTTGAACTGAAATTATTCTTGGGAATTTTTCCTTTTAATGCAATAAAAAAACTCTTGGCTTCTAATAATGCACACATTATTCACTTGCTTATTGCACTTCATGAAATTAAACTTTAGAGTCATAATAGCAGCATCCTTCTTATAATATAATACATTTGCTCTTCTGAACTGTATGATACTGTTGATAATGATTCTTATATGTTATAAATGGTAACTAATTTACTGTAATTATACAAGGGATGTAAAATAATTGCATATACTGTACATTGTGTTCATGAATGTAACTAAGGATTCTATAATGACTAAATTTTATTTTTACTTATTAATTATATGTTAGAACATGCTTTATAGAAAATAGGAACAAAAGTCATTATATTAAATCACACTTGAGTGAAGGGAAAAGAGTATTTGTTTCCTCACCTGTCTTGTAAGTGTAGTTACCGCAGTCATTATCTCAGGGTGTGAGACAAACTTGTGAAACATACCTGCCATGACTTAATTAAGGCATTTTCAGATTTACTGTGATACACTCGATGCCTCTAGTTAGTAAACATGCTCAAATTATCTTACAGTATTTATATTGGTAGTCTTTAGATTGTTAGAAACTAAGCACACACATTATTATAAATTCAACCTTAAATGCCATCTGTTTGTGTGACATATTAACATTTACCTTTTTGTAAAGATGTTAAATATACAGAATCTTTACCAAAAGTTCTTATTTACTGTCTGTATTTATTCTGGCATATGCCCGAAGCAGTGCTTGTAGTATTTTAGTTAAAGATATCTTTTTGTGGGTCTGCCTTTCTGTTGCAGCAAGAAAATGAGTGTTCCGTTAGCAAGAGGAATGTCAAAAGGTATATGGATACATGTATCCTGTTGAGGAAAGAAGGTAAAGGTAGATAAGGTAAGGAATGTGAAAAACATAAAATATGGGAAGGTTGAAATTCGTAGTATGGGAGAGACATTGTAGAATGGAACACTACTGAGTGATGGTTCACAATAAATATGTTGGTATTTTTTTTTTTTTAACAAGTCGGCCGTCTCCCACTGAGGCAGGGTGACCCAAAAAGAAAGAAAATCCCCAAAAAGAAAATACTTTCATCATCATTCAACTCTTTCACCTCACTCACACATAATCACTGTTTTTTCCGCAATGCTCAGAACACAACAGCTTAGAAGCATATACGTATAAAGATACACAACATATCCCTTCAAACTGCCAATATCCCAAACCTCTCCTTTAGAGTGCAGGCATTGTACTTCCCATTTCCAGGATTCAAGTCCGGCTATATAAAAATAACCGGTTTAAATAAAAATAACTGGTTAATTTTTTTCTTATTATTTTTAGTAATTATTACAGGAAAAGGGGAGCTTAGGTTTATTAATACACTTTTTTTCCTTTTAACATGCTGTCTGTCTCCCACTAAAGAGGGGTGACTCCAAAAAAGAAAACACATTAGCCATAATTCATTCAATAGCTGTTTTTGGCAGAAGTGTGCAGACATCACAATTCGAATGACCTCCAAACTGCAACATCCTCACCCCATCTTCAGAGTGCTGGCACTCTGCCTCCCACCTCCAGGTGGTAAATATATTTTATTTTGATTAAATTTTAAGAACATTATACTGGTTGATTAATGGTTAAGAGGGTGGACACAAGAGTTGTTGCTTGATCTCATAAAGTCAAGAAAGTGAGTATAGTTGACAGTGTAAGATAAATTGGCAAATAAATAGAAAATTTTGAACACTGACAAAATTAAAAAAAAGGCCAGGAAGACCCTGTAAATTATAGGTCTTTCTACATGAGAAGAGTTGTTGTAAAATATGTTTTTACTAAGCTATTAAAGGAAATTGGACGAAACACTTGTAAAAATGTTTTGTATTATTACATTGCTGTTCAGTATAAATAACTACTACTACTACTACTACTATTACTACTACTATCTATATCTACTACTACTATTTACTACTACTACTATATACTATACTACTACTACTACTACTACTACTATTACTACTACTACTACTATACTACTACTACTACTACTATTACTACTACTACTACTATTACTACTACTACTACTACTTACTATCTACTACTATATTACTACTACTTACTATACTACTATACTACTACTACTATATACTACTACTACTATTACTACTACTACTATTACTACTACTATTACTACTACTACTATTACTACTACTACTATTACTACTACTACTATTACTACTACTACTATTACTACTACTACTATTACTACTACTACTACTATTACTACTACTACTATTACTACTACTACTATTACTATACTATTATACTACACTATTACTACTTACTATTACTACTACTACATTACTACTACTATTACTACTACTACTTTACTTTACTACTATTACTACACTACTACTACTACTACTACATACTACTACTACTACTACTACACTACCACTACTACCACCACCACCACCTCTTCCTGCCTATATATAGCCGTCCTGCTCCACTTCTGGTTAGTGTGACTTTGTAAATGGTCCATGTCTGACCGAAACGTCGTCGTAAGCTTCTCTCTTCTATGTGCGGGTTATTTGTGTACTGTTCAGTATATGTATTATAGACGTACTATATATATATATTGACTGCAGGGATTGAGACAAGGATGAAGGGACACAGGTGAAAGCTGTAAACCAAAGTGGAAAAAGCAATGTTTCCTAAGGAATTACAATAATGTGAAGGCAGTGATTAACCCTTTGACTGTCGCGGCCATATATATACGCCTTACGAGGTACCGTGTTTGACGTATATATACTCATGAATTCTAGCAGCTTCAAATCAAGAAGGAGAAAGCTGGTGGGCCCACATGTGAGAGAATGGGTCTGTGTAATCAGTGTGCACCACATAAAAAAAAATCCTGGAGCATGCAGTGCATAATGAGAAAAAAAAAACTCTGACCGTTTTTTTTTTTAATTAAAATGCCGACTTTGTGGTCTATTTTCGTATAGTATTTATGATTGTATTCTCGTTTTCTTGGTCTCATTTGATAGAATGGAAAACATATTATAGAAAAAGAGATGATTTTGATTGATTTTACTATAAAAAAAACCTGGAAATGGAGCTCAAAGAAGGGAAAATGCTTGATTTTTGCCAATGTTCAAAAGTAAACTAATGACATCATTGTCCAATAAATGTCCAACTAGCCATTCTGATATGCAGTCATGAATGGGTTGATGTTATTTATACAATTATTACAGTATTGGAGTAGTCTCCATAATAGTAAATTTTCTATTTTTTGTTTGAATAAAAATTCAAAATTGAAAGCAAGAGTAATATCAGAGGAGCCTGGAGACATGACTGATGAACAAAGAAAATGTTATTTTAGAGCCAGGAATGTCTGCATTGTTCATTCTGGACCTTATTTTGAAATTGTCATATTTTTTTAATTTTTGTGAAATTGGCCAAATTGCAAATTTCTGACCACGTTATTGGGTAGTTGAAATTGCTAAATGGGCAGTTTATTGTACTCAATCAATAGAAAAAACCGAGTTCTAAAGAAATAGCTATGAGTTTGGTCGACTGAAACGAAGGAATTAGCCGAAAATAGGGCTCAAAGTGGGCAAAATCGCCGATTTGTAAATATCGCCAAGGTCACTAACTTTGCGAGAGTGTAATTCTGTCAGTTTTCCATCAAATTTCGTTTTTTTGGTGTCATTACAATCGGGAAAAGATTCTCTATCATTTCATAAGATTTTTTTTTTTTTTTTTTTTTTTATTTTGCGACACCAGGAGACACCTCAGGATTGGGGGTTGCGACAGTCAAGGGGTTAAGTGAAACACACCGGGGAATGAGGTAGTAGAGCCTAACTCTATTTACAAGTGTTCAGGAGATAGTGTCATTTAGGTTGATTAATTATCGATAAAGAATTGGGGGCTAAAGACCTCAATCTTTATTTGAATACAAGTAGGCAAGTACTATATATATTTTCTACCTTCAGTTTTTCCTGATATCAATATTACTAGTTATTTCCTTGTTACAATTTTGAGGGTAGCCCCAGCATTCCAGGGTGCTTACCAAAAAAACATAAAAAAAAGTGTCTACCTGCCCTACCCTTCAGTTGTGGTTGTATTTGTAATAAAGCAATTTTTTTCTAGGTGAAATATAGCTAAAGGTTGTTCTTGGCACCCAAGAGATGAATTTTGGTGACTTGATATTATATATACAATAAAATATGGTTGCTAAAATCTTTGGACCTAAAAGTTCTCAGATGTACATAACTAGTCCCCAACTGATATACAGTACTTTCAGTGGGAATACATGAGAGGGGGCATGTTTCAATGATTAATTGCCAGGAAGGGTCAATTTTTCTGCAATTTGGCAGATAATACTTTAATTTATGTCCATATATGAAGTCAGCCAATTGAGGTTAGTGCAATCTTAAATTTAATGTTTATAGAGTGACATATTTTAATTTCAGAATAATTTGATATTTATGTAATAATACTGTATATTCATTAACTATTAAATAATCTTTTATAATAAAAATATTTATATCTTACAAGTAAATACATTTATTATGAATATCTATTATATTTTTCATAAAAGTTACATATATAGTCATCTATCACATTTGTGTTACTTTTGTGATTTGTTATTGTTCAGAAATCTATTATCTTTGTAAAAATATTTGATGTGTATAAATGTACATTTTACAAGTTACTGTAGTTTACATAAAATATTATTAATACACTTTAGAAGAGTATGTGGAAACCTAGAATGACCTGAAGGAAGCAGAAAATATGCCAGATAAACAAAACAAGCATATTTCATCTCTACAATAAACCAGGTGTCACAGTCATGATGCTCCCAGTTACAAGTGCTTACCCATTTCTCCAATTTGAGCCTTCAGCATCACCATCTAAATGCTGTGTTTTCTTGCAAAATGAGAATGGCAAAGATAAGGGAAACAGTAAAAAAAAAAACAAATAATAAAAAACACAAATTCAGTAAATCAAATTTCTAGGGTCTCTTGACAACTGTTGTCTCTTGTGGGAAATTTTAAGAAGATAATCACAGGGTTTCACAGTAATTACTAAAGGCAACCAAACTAAAGAAATACAGACTTTCATAAAGTCAAGAACAAGAAATGCACATGTTAGATGTCTTTGGCTCTCCATGGGGAAGTGGAACAGAATTCTTCCTCCGTAAGCCATGCGTGTTGTAAGAGGCGACTAAAATGCCGGGAGCAAGGGGCTAGTAATCCCTTCTCCTGTATAAATTACTAAATTTAAAAGAGAAACTCGTTTTTCTTTTTGGGCCACCCTGCCTTGGCGGGATATGGCTGGTGTGTTGAAAGAAAGAAAGAAAAAGATGTCTTTGGCAACCTGTTTAAAACTGCTAACAACTTACAAAACCATCAAACCCAGTAGTCCACAAAAAATCAAGAATTATTAACTAACAGTGAAACAACTTTGTGGTTTACTATAATGAACTCAAACCAAATGAAGCAGACACACTCAGACTATAGTGTCTCATCCTGCCGACATGTACACAAATCAGACAGTAGCAATGGACTGACAGATGGACAGTATGTGATGTCACTCATGTTCCTTATGGAGACCTGATTAAAATAACATACTGTAGACTGATAAAAAGGAAATAAATACTGCAGTCTACTGTGCTATCATATAAAAATCATGAACATTAGATAAGCTCTATCTATACCTCCCCTTCTCATTTGAACTGTGCTGCTGTTCCTCTGGCCTTTTTATGTTCATGCCCTGTATTCCCTAAGGAATGCAAGAGCACCCTCATAAAGGAGACAAAAGGCATGTTGTATGGCTAAGTCAAAGACCATCTTCACAGAACTGGTCTTCTGTCCAGGATTTCATATATTCATGTGGCTTCTTGATTTCCATTGGATACATGTACCTCTCTTCTGTCCAGTCATGCTGAAAATAGTCTTCTATTAAAGAATAAATTTGCCAGTTTGTCAAATTTAAGGCCTATCTTGGCTACTCAGCACCATTTTATAAAGGCTGTCTTCTTGCCATGAGCAGAGAGACAGTCTTTGAGAGAGGTGTCATAATTTTTCCTGGTATTTTGCTCAATACTCCAGAGAATACATAGTGGCTGCTCTCTTCTCACCTTTACCTTGCAGCTAGGTGTCCAGTGATGTTTTAGTCAGCTTTTTGCTGCTGCTTTTTTTTTTTTTAAAGTGTACATTAAAATACCTATCAAAATCGGTCTCAATAAAGTTTGGCTCCATCACTGTACAATTTCTATTACTGAACACAGTGTTATAATTTGTTTTTTAGCACACTGGCCGTCTCTCAGCAGCAACCTCTTCAAGGGGGGCTCCTTGGCGTGGTGAAGAGGCTCTTGGTCTGAGGAATTAGACCTGTCGGTCTCCTTCCTCATTCCTCCTAGGAACTATCCCTCCCCAGTCTCCCCTTTTTTTATTCTTTTTTTATTTTTATTTTATTTTCTTCTTTCTTTTTTTTTTCTTAAAAACAAAAAGAAAGAAGTAACCTAACCATGGCAGCCCTAGTCCATGAACCTGATTCCCCCGGGCCCCTTCTTGATACCGCACCCTGTTCTGACCCCGCCTCGTCTTTGGACCACTCTTCGGACACTCCTCATGCCTCTGTACCTCTTGCCGGTGCTGTTTCCTCACCCGCTTCAGGTACTGAGGCCTCTACTGACTCCTTCGATTTATCTGACTTCCGCTCTCCTTTGACTATGCTTCCGGCCTCTCCCTCTACGGTGTGGTAATTTTCGAATCGCCAGCCCGTTCCGCATCGGACCAATTCTGGTCCCACGCCTAAACGCCAACGACAGTTACCTGCTGATGATACTTCTCCACCTTCTCGTTCTTCTCAGAAAAGATCAACACGTCCTGCACTCCCTTTCCACGCTCAGTTTCAGACTGCACAATGAAC